TTCCAAGCAAAGGCATAGATGAAAATGGAGGAGATAAGAATCTTTGGGACACAATATGTAAATCAGTTTCTGAAGCTGGGAGGTCATACTGGGAAACATTCCATATTGTTTAGGCAGACTATGTAATGACACTTGCAGAACTGGAAAAGATCTTAAAGTCACGGAATCCAAATTGTTCATTCCGAAATGTTTCATTCTGAAATCAAAGACCCAGAAACAGCAACTGATTTGCTGAAAGCCACTTAGTCTTTGAAAGAGTTGGTACTAGAATCTAGGATCACCACATAGACCCTTAGCCTCTTCTTGCCCTTAAAGAATACAGACCAGAGAGAGATCCAAGATGGCTAATCACTAGCAGCTCGGGATTGTAGCTCCCACTGAAAGCGCAGAGAACGAGAGGACGCCACACTTTCAGATCAATTTTTGTTGCTCACGCACCAGGAGATTTCCAGCGGAGGGGCCCCACTTCTTGCCAGCGTGACTCTTGAGGCAGGTGAGGCGGTTTTGCCGCTGCCTTGGTGCGGCGGTTCTTGGTGCGGAGTCAGAAAAGCACCATCAATCTTAAAGCCGCTGTTTTGGCCGGCACAGTGGGTTGCTCAGATTTTAGCACTGGGAATCAACAAGTTGGACGTCCATTCAGAAACCCAACTATAAAGACGGTAATTATAAAGACCACAGATGGATAGATTTATAACGAAGGGAAGAAACAAGCCTAAAAAGGCTGAAAATACCCAAACTCAGAACGCCTCTCCCTCTACAGGGGATCACAGCTCCTCATCAGCAACAGAACAAGGCCTGATGGAGAAAGACTGTGTTCCATTAACAGAAGCAGGCTTTAAAAAGTGGATGATAAGAAACTTCTGGGAATTAAAAGAACTTGTTCTAACCCAATGCAAAGAAACTAAGAACTTTGAAAAAAGGTTTGACGAAATGTTAACAATAACACACAACTTAGAGAGGAATATAAATGAATTAATGGAGCTGAAAAACACAACACGAGAATTTCGTGTTTTAACAAGTTTTAACAGCCAAATTGATCAAGCAGAAGAAAAGATATCAGAGGTCGAAGACCAACTTAATGAAATAAAACAAAAAGACAAGATCAGAGAAAAAAGGTTAAAAAAGAATGAGCAAAGTGTCCAAGAAATATGGGACTTTGTGAAAAGACCTACGTTTGATAGGTGTACCTGAATGTCATGAAGAGAATCAATCCAAGCTGGAAAATACGTTTCAGGATATTACTCAGGAAAACTTTCCCAACCTAGCAAGGCAGGACAATATTCAACTCCAGGTAATACAGAGAACACCACAAAGATATTCCTCAAGAAGACCAATCAAGGCACATAATTGCCAGATTCACCAGGGTTGAAATGAAAGAGAAAATACTGAGGGCAGCCAGAGAGAAAGGTCAGGTTACCCATAAAGGGAAGCCCATCAGACTCACAGCAGATCTCTCAGCAGAAACCCTACAAGACAGAAGAGAGTGGGGGCCAATATTCAACATCCTTAAAGAAAAGAATTTTCAACCCAGGATTTTACATCCAGCCAAACTAAGCTTCATAAGTGAAGGAAAAATAAAATCTTTTGTGAACAAGCAAGCACTCAGAGATTTCATCACCACCAGGCCTGCTTTACAAGAGCTTCTGAAAGAACCACTACACATAGAAAGGAACAACCAGTATCAGCCTTTCTAAAAAATACCAAAAAATAAAGAACATCAACATAATTAAGAAATTGCATCAACTAATGGGCAAAACAGCCAGCCAACATTAAATAACAGTATCAAACTCACATATACTGTTATTAATTCTAAATTTAAATCGACTAAATCCCCCAATCCAAAGACACAGACAGGCAAAAAAAGCCAAGACCCATTGGTATGCTACATCCAGATCCATCTCACATGCAAGGATACACAAAGACTGAAAACAAAGGGATGGAGAAAAATTTACCAACCAAATAGAGAGCAAAAATAAATAAATAGAAAGCAGGAGTTGCAATTTTTGCTGATAAAATACACATTAAAGCAACAAAGATCAAAAGAAGCAAAGAAGGATATTACATAATGATAAAAGGATCAATGCAACAAGAAGAGCTAAAGATCCTAAATATATATGCACTCAATACAGGAATACCCGGATATATAAGACTTATAAAGAGACTTGGACTCCCACACAATAATAGTGGGAGACTTCAACATCAATATTAGACAGATCAATGAGACAGAAAGTTAACATGGATCCTCAGGACTTGAACTCAGATCCGGAACAAGTAGACTTAATTAACATTTATAGAACTCTCCACTTAAATACACAAAATATACACTCTTATCAGTACTACATCACACCTATTTACAGATTTAAATGAAATATCGGTTGGCTGCTTGTTAAGTATTTTCTTCCCTCATTTTTTTTTATGTCTCTATTATTAAACACAATTACAGGCATACCTATTTTTAGACTGCATTCTAGCCCAGGCAATAAAGCAACACCCCTGTTCTCTCTCCCTCTTCTTCTTCCTCTTTCTTCCTTTCCTTCATTCTTTTTTTTTTATTCTTTCTCTTTCTTTCTCAAAAAAAAAAAAAAAAAAAAAAGAATACAGACCAAAGCTATTATAATAAATAGAAGATGTTGTGAACATTCTTCACTTTATAGAATAACTTACCCAAAGCCATACTTTATTCAGGCCAAACAGAGATGAACAGAGATGACTTAGGCTGAGCAGAGACAGCTAACAATCCAACAAGCACGTGTTTATTGATTGTCTGTATTCCAGACACAGGATATAATGCTGAAAAATTCAGACAAGGCCTCTGCTCTCACAGTGCTGCTGTTAGAGAAAATAGTCACAAATACATTATTATTATTGTTATTTTTGAGATGGAGTCTTGCTCTGTCACCAGGCTGGAGTGCAGTGGCGCAATCTTGGCTCACTGCAACCTCTGCTCTTGAGTTCAAGCAATTCCCCTGCCTCAGCCTCGCGAATAGCTGGGAATACAGGTGTGCGCCACCACGCCCAGCTAATTTTTTGTATTTTAGTAGAGATGGAGTTTCACCATGTTGGCCAGGATAGTCTTGATCTCCTGACCTCATGATCCATTTGCCTTGGCTTCCCAAAGTGCTGGGATTACAGGCGTGAGCCATTGCACCTAATTTTTTAACTAAAGAAAAAAAATAATGATAAATGCTTGGTAGAAAATTAAAATAAGGTGGTATGACATAAAATGATTGGATGGCTACTTTGAACTGGAGGATCAGGCAAGGCCTCTCTAAGTGGGACATTGGGGCATAGATCTGAATGACATAATATTGAAATTCTGTACAAAAGACTTCCAGTCAGAGGGAACATCTGGTAAAGAGGCCCTCAGGCAGGGGTGAGCTTATTAATTTTCAAAGCAAAGAAAGAAGGCCAGTGAGTCTGGATTTTAGTGGGCATGTAGAAGGAGAAGCAAAATTAGGTAGGTCAGCATGGCTCTGATCATCTTGAGTTATATAAGCCAGGATAGGGAGTCCAGATTTTATTCTCAGTGAATTGTAAAGCTACTGGAGCATTTTATGCAGCAAGTGATCTGATCTGCTTTATTTTTTAGGAAGATCACTCTAGCTACTATTTGAAAAATGGATTGCAGAGGGGCAAGGAGACCAGTTATGAGACTATTGAACTGGTCCAGTTGAGAGATGATGGTGGCTTGGACTAAGGTAATGGATATGGAGAGATGTAGAGTTATTTGAGGTATTTTTTGGATGTATAGAGGACAGATGTTAGTGACACTTTGAACATAAGAAAGAAGATAGGAATAAAAAAAAAGAAGATAGGAATTAAGGAGAATTCTAGATTTCTGGCTAAAGCAACTGCGTTAACTCCTGAAGTTTCATTTACAAAGATAGTACCTATCAACTGCTGCTTTGAAGTCTGAGATTATTATGTTGGCAAAACAGATAAAATTCTCTGCCCTTTTGAATGTTATATGCTACTGGAGGATTCAAAAAATAAAATAAATAAGTATGTGTAGATGGTGGTAGGTCTTGGCATGGGATCTATTATAAATTTTGTGGTCAGATCTAGAAAGTCTTCACTGACAAGGGTACGTGTTAAAAGATGTATAAAAGGCAAGGGAGTGAGCCATACCTACATCTACTGAAAAAGCCTCATGAGCACCCAAGTGGGGGTATGAAGAATAGAGTTGGATGCATGAGTCTGAACTCCAGTGAGAGGTCAGAGTTGAAATTACAGGTTTATGCCTATATAGATGTCATTTCAAAGATGGGACCAGAAGAGATTACCAAGGAAGATGCAGGTAGAGAAGGGAAGGCACTTCTGCAACTCTCCAGTATTTGAGGGCCAAAAGGAAGAGACAGCAGGAGCAACTAAGAAGAAAAAGCCATTGAAGTAGGAGGAAAAACAGGTAAGCATGGTATCAGAGAAACTCAGACATTTCAAGAAGGAAAGAATGGCCAAGTCTGTTGGTTATTACTAAGGGTTCATGTAAGATAGGGATGGATATGATCATTGGATTTGACAACGTGGAGCTCATTGGTGACCTTGACAAGAGCAATGTCAGTGGAGATGGGGACAGAAAGCCATGAAATTACCTAAAGAGAAATTGGCGTCAGTGAAAGAGGGAAGGATGTAAGGGTGAATGAAGACATTGAGTTCAGAGAGGTGAGATTCAGATGACAAGTGGAGAGTTTGTGTCCGAAACAAAGAGCGATGCTTTGTTCACAGTAGGAGGAGGAGAAGCCAAGAGTTTAAGTACTGATGCAGATACATAGGGAGATTCGATGACGGAAAAAGAAGGGAATTTTGATCTGATTGCTTCTCCTTTTCTCAGTGAGGTATAAGGTAAGTTCATTGACTAAGGGTATGAGAGGTAGGCCTTGGCAACCAGGTTTGAAAGGTGAGGAGATGGTGTGAAATGGCTGCTTAAGTAACTGCCTGATACTTTCAACTTGTAAGTGGTTCTTCTCAGATGCTGACTCAGCGTGCTTTTTATCCCACAGCCAAGAGGCTGGAGTCCTATCAGGAAGCTGTCTCTGAAGATGAAGATTTCACAGACACACTCAGCGGTTCCGTAAGCAATATGGCAAAACAGAGAGCCCCCAGCTGCGGGACAGTTCATAATGGGCCTTTGGGAAATAAGCCCTCAAATCATCTTGCTGGGAGCTCTGTTAATCTAGGAAGTGGAGAAGGAGCCAGTGAAGTGCCTCATTCCAGACAGGCTGCTTTCAGTAGCCCCATTGTAAGTGTGAATGCATGACTAGAATCTTGCACACCCACAATGTTTGGTGAAAGGACAGACCTGTAATTATGATAGAGTCAAATTCTGTTGTATTTTCTACCTTACAAGAGACTACGTGATTGAAGCTCAGCAAGATCCCTACACATAATTAGAAGTATAAACAAACAATATCACACTATCCTATTTTTAAAAAATAACTCAATGTTGAGAAGTAGTATACCATTTCTGAAAAAATATATAATGTTTCTGGTCAGGGCTGATCATGTGTGAGCCTGAAGAAGGCTGTCTTGGTTTAAGAATCGTGGCTCACTCTCAGACCCAGCAAAGCTTACCAGAGTTATCTCCTAGACAGATAACCATATGTAATTTATAGGGACATTCATAGGCCATGTAATACATTGAATTACTTTTTATTGCTCTGTAATCTTCCAAATCCCATCAAACTTGTGGCTTCTTCCCCATTCCTAGCCTCCAGATGGTCATTTTCTAATATATCCATTTCAGAGTTCAGCAGGATGTGTTCGTGAGTTCCAGTGGGAAGTGTCACGAACTGTTTAGTCACATCCATTAACAAATTCATTTTACTCCAGAAAAACTAGAGGACCTTGCAGAAGATGGGAAAAAGAGGGAAAGATGCTGCGTGAAAAAAAATTAGAAATCAAAGTTTTGCTGTATTTAAAATTACCTCTATAAAAGTTCAATTTCCTTCTCTGCCTTTTACATTTTATACCTGTGTTTTACCAAGATGAGGATTTCCCAGCCACCAGACTGATAATACCTCCAAAATAGGCGGCATCACAAGAATAAATCAGCTTTGGGGAAGCTTTGTGTTTCTACATTGGATCTATTGTATGGTTTTCATAGTAAAGACATGATATGAGTAGACCCCAGGGGTCTCATTTGTCCTGGAAAGACCTTGAGCTTCTCAGGATCCTGGCTCTTCTCAAATTGTCAACAAATGCATAATTACAGCAACTGGAGTGATCATTTCGGTTCATCTCATTTCTGTGGCACTAATATAAAAACTATTATATTATCTTAGCCATATGTCAAGTGATTCCAAGACTTAATGTTTCTCCAACTTTTGAAATGGAAGAAGAAAGGGATGCACACAGTTCATTCTGTATACTCATTATAAGGCCATATCAGAAATATATTTTTCTTCGATTTTCTATCAATAGATTTTCTTATATTTTGTCTTTTTATCTATCCTTGTGTTGAACTTTTTCATTTTCCATTCACCTGAAAGTAAGAACATGTTGGCTCTTGTTTAGACAGAAGCACCACAGTTTGGTAATAAGGTGAGTCTGTGCCACAGCTTATTGGTTTCCTGATCAAACCTCACCCTCTTCGTGGAACAAATAATTGGTTTTTCTTAGCTTAAAGTCTTTGTCCCTTTGTAGATACAATGTACGTTGTCTAAAACATATTGTCTCTTCATATTCTGCCTCTGTCCACCAAATCTGGTGAAATATTTATTTCTTTAAGAACTAAATTAAATATCTCCTTTTCTGAAGACTCACAGATTCTCTTCTTTCAGCTTCCGAGCTCTGTTTATACCATTCCTATGTCCCTTCATCCACATGGCATTGGCCTTATTTCTGCCTCTGGCATTTCACCATTAACTCCTTGAGAGAAGGATTTAGTCATCTTGAATCAACATCTAGCACAATTTCTGGCATGTCTGTTCTCAATTAAGTATCTTTAAAGGTTGTTGAAGGAAGCTACTTACCAGGCTGTCTTTTCATCTGGGACATTTTATTTTCATTTGCTTTATACTCCAATGTCATTGCTGATTATATGGATGCTCTTGTGTTGCTGTTATTGTTGCCACTGTTTTGTTTGTGTTTTGCAAAACCATACCCTTAATATATAGAATAGCAAGGTCCCGGCCTTCCTCAATATATAAGATTATTTCTCAGTCTTTGTCTAAGCAAGTTGATTTTATCCTTTTTGAGGACTAAAGATTATTTTGAGAAAGCTATATAATCTTTGATCTGAAAAGTGAGCATCTGCAAATACATCATATAAAATTCTAAAAGCCCATCTGAGGAGCCCAGGTAAAGAACACCAGCTTGACGGCATTCTGAGAGTTGTGATGTCTAAGAGTGGAAGGTTGTAAGATGGCACCCTTCAAAGAAGGCGAGCTGTGAGCCAGCAAGTGAGGATGCTAGGCAGGCTGCTGATGCAGATGTGCCAGCCTTTGGGCATTAGAATGTCACTGAGGCCCATGAACCCTGGGTTCATATTGCCTGTTTTAGAAATAGAGACCTTTACTTTGTAAGCCAGTAAGTTTATTTGTCTTTCATCCTCTGGAGTTTTTCATTCAACAAGTATACTCTTTATTCTGCATGAAATGCTCTTCTCTTAGATCTTTGTATAGCTGTCTCCTTTCTGTCATTGAGTCTCAACTCAAATATCTTCTCAGTGAAGCCTTCTCTGCCACCTAGTTCCAAGTACATTCCATCTCTCTCTTGTCTCTCTCTGTCTCAATACAAAGGCACCTTATTTATTTGCTGTTGGGATTGTTTTGGATCTACTGTCTCCCCCAGGTAGAATGTGAGTTTCATGTAAGCCAGGATCCTGTCTGTTCTATGTACTCCTCTTCTCTTCAGGGGTGCCTGATACCACAGATCAGCAATAAATATTTTTGGGATAATGAATTTATGAATGAATTAATGGAAGGCATGACACAATACTGGGCATGAAGACGTAAAGTGATTAAGACATGGCTTCAGCCTTCAGTTTTGTTCTAGGTAGAGAAGATAGACATATAAGCAAATAATTATAGTCCTGTATTAAAGATATAGTCATAGTAGTTAATCCAAACTATAGTAAGGCCACAAAGAAGGGAGTGATTAACTCTAAGGGAGTGAAGAAGGATTAAGAAAGGCTGCCCAGAAGACTTACAATTTAGGATTAAAATAGTGAGCAGAGAGGTTCACAGATTGGAAGGGGAGGGAAAGGCATTTGGAGCTGACAGCACGTGGTACATGCAGACATTCAGAACCACAGGGTCATGGGAGAACGTGGCATGCAGCAGAAATTGTCAGTATTTGGTTATTGACCTTTGTCTTTTTTTTTCAGGACTCTGCTGTTTAGGAATCAGTGGGGAGGGAGTGGTGGCGATAGAAGTTATTTGTGTCCACTCTTAAACCAAAGTTGCAGTGGTGGAGTAGTGAACCCTTAAACTGAGTGGAGTGGCATCTGGCAATGAAATGAAAAACTTTGGGTACGGGTGGAATCAGGGAGGAGTAAAAAAACAGTATTAGAGCTCATCGGTCAACTTTAAATCCCATCTAAAGTGTCTTTGTCCATTACTCAGTTGTGGGTTTTTCTAAGTTTTGCACAAACAATTATCGTGGGCTGATGCTACTCTCTTTTTTAAAACAAAGTTAACATTTAAATTATATGGAAGCCATTCGAAAGATTCAACGAACACTATCAGAAGGAAAAGGGAGTTTTGGCCTGTTTTTGCTTGCTTAATTTGAATTTAAATAGAGGAGGGAGGAAAAAAAAATAAAGGAGTAAACCTGAATGTGAAATCTACAACTTAGTAGGAAGGCATAATAGGAATAAGGGTAAATCTAAGATTTGAGATAGACAGTTACCATGCATGACTAGAACAAAGATACTAGACTCTCATCAGGAAACCAAATAAGGCTCTGTTTACATTATGGGAAGCTGTCTGCATCATACTGTGTAATCTGTGCTTTGATTAGAAGTATAAATTTTCTTGAATATTAAAAAGATACCTACTGGAGCCCAGTGGGAGGAAACATGTGTTTATTTTCCAAAGAGTAACATCTTTTTCATCTGTTTATTTCTCTCTCATTCTTTATGTGATATGAAATTAGCAAATGATAGTAACATATGATAATACACTTTTATTGCTTACCCATGTGTCAAGTACTGAGTTAGGGATCCAAAGATCAACATGGTATGGTCCTTATTTTAATGGGCCTTCCAAATTCTCTGGGGAGAGATTCCATACATATGTAAGGAATCATTTAAAGCAAGATGGTTTGAGCCTGATTCTGAAGTTAAGACATTCAGAGAAGGCAGAAGCTGACAATCAGGGAAAAAAGAGCAAAAGTTAATAATGTAATCATGAGTCTCATAAGGAAGATTTGAATCTTGGGAGAAACAGCTACGGATACAGTCATGCAGATAAGAATTTCATGTGGTAACTCTATACCTTCACCTCAATTCAGCGACTCACTTCTTAGTCACTAGAGGGATAGCAGGGGGTGGAGGTTAGGGGAGGGTTAGCATTAGGAGAAATACATAATGTAGATGACAGGGTGATGGATGCAGCAAACCACCACGGCATGTGTATACCTATGTAACAAACCTGCACATTCTGCACATGTACCCCAGAATTTAAAGTATAATAATAATAATAAAAGAAATTAACCTATTAATCTATTTTAGTTGGACCAACTAAAGCAAAAGAATGATCCATGCCTGAAGCTTCTTTGTATGTAGATCTTTCTTTAAATCTTCTGGGCTCTGTCATGTATATTGTTTTATGGTGCTTTTCAAGGTCTTCTATGGTCCTGACTTTATAGATTTTTCCCACTTTATTTTGACAGTACTTCTCAGCATAGTTTTGCTGATCAGAGCCACACAACCCCACTTTCACACTCTGTTCCCACTCACCTCCAGCTTGGGCCAACTTCAGAATTGCTTCCATTCTCATAGCCACAGCACAGCCTTTAAGTCATGCAGTCACCTGCTTCCCTGAATTGACGACAGAAATAGTGTCTTAGTCCGTTCAGGCTGCCATAACAAAATCCTGTGTATCTCTGCTATTATGTATTTCAAAATGAGAAAACACTCAACTAGATTTGGTGGAAACTAAACTCCTGTTTAGTTTAATAGTGAAGATAGTTTCCATTGATAATGTGCATTCTGGATTTTCCATTTATTTTTATATCTTTTATTTTCCTATTCTCACTTCCCGTGACACAGTACACATTAAAATTGTTTTCAGAAAAATCAAGTTCACTATCTCATGATTCATTTAGATCTTGGCTATAAAAGTTGTTTCTCATGTTGATTTAAAACTAATGTTTATATGCTTATTATAACAACACACTGTCTTAATTGGATCTTCAGGAAACAGATGTGGTACCAGACACCAGGCTTTTAGACAAATTTAGTCAGATCACACCCCAGCTCTTTATGCCACTAGATGAGACCATCCAAAATCCACCACTGGAAACTTTGTACATCATTGACTTCTTCATTGCATTGGCAATTTGCAACACAGTAGTGGTTTCTGCTCCTAACCAACCCCGACAAAAGGTAAGGTCTTTAATGCAAACAAGGGTCACTTTCCAGAAGAGAATTTTGGGTTTAAATGTATCTATACTGAGCCTGATATATGGATAAAAATTATAAATAATAGCAGCTATATAACATTTAGTTAGCATTTGTTCTGTGCTCTGCACTTACCACGGCTGTGTCATGAGTCCCCAAACCCCCAGGCCGCAGACCAGTAACAGTCTGTGGCCTGTTAGGAACCAGTCTGCACATCAGGAGGGGAGGAGAGGGCCAGGGAGCTCTGCCTCCTGTCAGATCAGGGGCAGCATTAGATTCTCATAGGATTGTGAACCCTATTATGAACTGCACGTGCACAGATCTAGGTTATGCCCTCCTTATGAGAATCTAACTAATGCCCAGAGAATCTAACTAATACCTGATGAGCTGAAGTCCTACCGAGCCCATCAGTGGAAAATTGTCTTCACAATACCGATCCCTGGTGCCAAAATCGTTGTGGACTGCTGGTCTAAGGGATTTATTGGTATTAACAGTTTAATCCTCCTAACAATCCTGAGTTAGATGCTATTACCCTACTATTCTCCATTTTACAGATGAGGCTAAGTAATTTTCCCAGGGTAACAAAACAGGTTTGTGGAGAGATGGGATTTGAACCTAGGAAATATAGATAGCTCAGTGCTACCATATTATATGCCTCTAAGAAGGTAGTGATGAGAGCAGTTGTTTTTGCCTTATTTTGCCAAATTGAAGCTTTCTTTGAGGCTTCTGAGACCTCCAACATCATATGTAGTATATCAGTCAAAATATACAGTATTGGATTCAATTTCTTGTTTAATGATAATGTATCTTTTTGCATACCAGTTGAGTTAGATTTAATCAGTGTAAAATCCAGTACATTACCAAGCCAGATTTTTCTTTCCTTTTTTTTTTTATTTGAGACAGAGTCCCACCAAGTCTCTCAGACTGAAGTGCAGTGGCATGATCTCAGCTCACTGCAACCTCCGCCTCCCAGGTTCAATCAATTGTCCTGTCTAAGCCTCCTGAGTAGCTGGGCTTATAGGTGCCCACCACCATGCCCCACTAATTTTTGTAGTGCTGATAGAGACAGGGTTACACCATATTGGCCAGGCTGGTCTTGAACTCCTAACCTCAGGTGATCCACCCGCCTCAGCCTCCCAGAGCGCTGGGATTACAGATGTGAGCTGCCGTGTCCTGCCTTTCTTTTTTTTTTTTTTTTCTGAGACAGGGCTTCAACTCTGTCATCCAGCTTGAAGCACAGTGGTGCAATCACAGCTTACTGTAGCCTTGGGCTCAAGCAGTCCTACTGCCTCAGCCTTCTGAGTAGCTGGGACCACAAGTGTTTGCCACCATCCCCAGCTAATTTTTAAAATTTTTTGTAAACATGGGATGTTGTTCTGTTTTCCAGGCTTGTCTTGAACTCCTGAGCTCAAGCAATCCTCCCACATCAGCCTCCCAGAGTGCTGGGATTACAAGCATGAGCCACTACACCTGCCCCCCCCTCAAAAAAAGCTGGATTTTTAAAGTCTACTTGTAGCTTAGAATTCATGGAAAATTCATTTTTAATGAAAAGGAAAGCCTGTTTAACAGGCTGGTGATTCACCACTTGCCGTGTTAGCCTCGTTGTGTACAACTGTCTCACCTTTTACACACTTAAAATTCAATTTGCAGCACAACCCAATTCAATTTAATTTTCCATCAGTTCATTTTCTTTTGGCAGCTTCAGAGTTGGTCAACTTTAACATAAAAATAATTTACTTCCAATTAAGTTGTGCTTTATCGGGACCTGTATTTTTACAAGGCTTTGCCTTCAGGAAGTTGCTCTTTGAAAAAGTGATTATGCAGTTAGAGAATAAAGCTGTTCTTTCCCCCAGCCACATAATTTTTCTAATAAATCTGTTTCCAAAGTAAGCATCTTTTGGTGTTTTCCTTTTAAGAAATATTATTGCCTTATTCCCAAAGAATATATTTTACTGCTTGAAAGAAAATCTCTGAAGCATGTAAGAGTCTAAGCCTCATAATATTTCAAGGTAATGATAGAAAGGCAGTGAATAAGTAGCTACTCAGCATTCATGTGAAATATAGAAGCCTCATCTGTGATTGGGTTTTACGCTTCACTTCTGAGTTGCTAATAAATTTGAAAATCAATCAGCATAAGACCTTCAAATTATTATAAAATTAGTTATTTTTAGGGGAAAACTTTTTAATTTATTGAGCATTTCTGAATGAGAAAATTTTTCCCTCCAATTAATTGGTCTTCCATGATTAGTGTGAATTTCTAAGTTTAATCACTGATGAAAGTTACGATTTAAGAGAAGCCAGGGTACAAATAGAAAAAGTACTATGAAAATAGAAATTCAAATTCACATTATGATATTGATAACACTTCTTGATGAAGCTACTTTGCTTATTGGTCTGTTTAAAAGTCAAAGTAACAAACTTTGTAGAATCTGGAAAATAAAAGAGAAAAATGTGTTTTGTAATCTTTTGATTTGCTTTCTTCTGGTATTTTTGTTATGAGTGTTATTACTTATTTGTTACTTTTTTACGCTAGTCTATAGCTTTTTCGATATTGCCCTATAGACTTTATAAGCTTTATTTTTAAATATTATGTAACATTTCAAGATGTGTCTATTTTGCTGTTATTGAATACTTAATTTGCTTATAATTTTAAAATTGTTATTGTTAGGATGCACACAATAACGATTATGGAGTTTCTGTATTTCAAGTTATTTCTTTAGGAAAAAAATCACTGAAGGATGTCCACTGCCAGCAATATTAGCATTTTATATCTTTCATTATCAGTTGTCAAATGTATTTCTAAATGGTTGTAGGAATGTATGTTATTCATTTTAATATTATTAAAATATTAGCAAAATATTAAGTTAACATTTAAAATATTAATAAAAATCAAATTATTTAGATATTTATAAAAACACAAATTTTTATTTTTATTAATATTTTCCATGGTAGTTGTAAATAGGGAACAGGCTGCTAGCCATTTAAGAGAGTGGTAACTCTTTTTGTATCTAATTTATTCTCAGTTTGCCTTCAAAGGTGTTATAAACTGCTTTTGACTGTATTGAGACCTTCCTAAATTGTCTTTCATAGATCAGACACCCTTCACTGGGAGGGATGCCCATTAAGTCTTTGGAAGAGATTAAAAATCTTTTCCAGAGATTGTCTGTTCGAAGGTCAAGTTCTCCATCACTTGCCAGTGGGAAAGAGCCATCTTCTGGAGTTCCGAACGCCTTTGTGAGCAGACTCCCTCTCTTTAGTCGAATGAAACTGGCTTCACCTGTGGAGGAAGAGGTCTCCCAGATGCGTGAGATACCCCAGTGCTCCAGTAGCTCAGCTTGCTGCACAGAAACAGAGAAACAACACAGTGATGGAGGCCTCCTGAATGGCAAGGTGGAGTCCCTCCCTGGACAGCCATTGGCCTGCAACCTGTGTTACGAGGCCGAGAGCCCAGATGAAGCAGCCTTAGTGTATGCCGCCAGGGCTTACCAATGCACTTTACAGTCCCGGACACCAGAGCAGGTCATGGTGGACTTTGCTGCTTTGGGACCGTTAACATTTCAACTTCTACACATCCTGCCCTTTGACTCAGTAAGAAAAAGAATGTCCGTTGTGGTCCGGCACCCCCTTTCCAATCAAGTTGTGGTGTATACGAAGGGTGCTGATTCTGTGATCATGGAGTTATTGTCAGCGGCTTCCCCAGGTAAGTTTATAAAAGGTGAGGTAGTGATTTGAAAATCTTGGAGATTAAAAGACCACATTCGATGGCTTTATAAAGGCAAAGAAATAGGTATTTGGGGATTAATCTCATTTGGTGAAGTAGAGAGAAGCTGCCTAGGATTTGATGGGAAAGTGAATAAGTTTTGGGGCTACCCAGATATGAGTTCAAATGTGAACTCCATCATTAGCTGGGTCTTAATAAAGTTACTTAACTATTCTGTGCATTAAGTATTCAATTCAATGGGTCTACGAGTACCTCCTTGGTAGATTCTTGAAAGGTTTAATAACATACCATATGCAATGTATGAAGAGCCTTTGGCCAAGTGTCTAGCAAATGGTAAGCGCCCAATAACTGTTAGCTAGAGGCATTATTATAGCTATGTTACTGTGTTATTGATTATGTGGGAATGGTGTTTGTATCAAGTTCTTGTACTTCCCTCTGCCCAAAGGAAAACAAAGGAAAGATTTATTCTGAGTGGTCCCTTTTACAGATACCCATTTGGGATTCAAAACCAGAAGGCTTTTTTTGTTTGTTTAATGTGGATTAAACTACTGTTGTTTTTAAAAATATTTATGTAATTGGACAGACTGGTAGGAACTCAAGCATCTTATCCATTATTTCAGATGGAGCAAGTCTGGAAAAACAGCAGTTGATAATAAGGGAGAAAACCCAGAAGCACTTGGATGACTATGCCAAACAAGGCCTTCGTACGCTATGTATAGCAAAGAAGGTGAGACTGCTTAGTGTGCTGCTCCACCTTTTTTGTTTTTTTCCCTTGTTCATGGACTGGAAACCAGCATGTGGCAAACCCTAATCCAGGCACTGGGGAAAGTCCTCTGAACGCTGGCTCTCTTTTTACCTACTCTATTCCATATATTTGTTAGTTTGAAGTTTGTTTGAAGTATTTTGCTAGAAGGGTCCCTGAAAGTTATTTTCTCTTAAGTTCTTGCATGTTTTAATATGTCAGTGAGTGCCTTTATATGTAAACAGCTGTTTGGCTGGGAAAAAAAATCTCTGGATCCTACTTTCCTTCCCTCAGGATTGAAAATGTTGTTCGCTCTGTCTTACAGCATTAAATGTGCTTTGAAAAGAATGCCACAGATCAGCCTTAATTTTTTCATTGTAAGTTCTTAATATTCTTATGTGCCCATAACTCTTTATATGTAAATCCAGGTAAATATCTTAGATATTATCTCAGTAGTGATTATTCTCTATTGAGAATGATTTTGGTACATAGCATATTCTTTCTAAACAAAAGCGTAGTAAGAAAGAAGATGGAACTCCAAGAAATTATTTGAGGGATGTTCTTACCAGAACTTTTCATTTCTTACCCACGTTCTGTTCATGGGAGCTGCATTAGGGAAAGTGGAATCTGTTGTAGACCCTAAGGAACTCAATCAACCAGCTGCATGAGGAATCAAAAACCTGATGGCTGGGCGCAGTGGCTCACGCCTGTAATCCCAACACTTTGGGAGGCTGACGCAGGTGGATCACCTAAGGTCCGGAGTTCGAGACCAGTCTGGTTAACATGGTGAAACCCTGTCTCTACTAAAAATACAAAAATGAGCTGGGTCTGGTGGTGCATGCCTGTAATCCCAGCTACTCAGAAGGCTGAGGCAAAAGAATTGCTTGAACCTGGGAGGCAGAGGTTGCAGTGAACTGAGATTGCGCCACCGCACTCCAGTCTGGGTGACAGAGCAAAACTCCATCTCAAAAAAAAAAAAAAAATCTGCCCCACACACAGTTGAAGGAAGAATGGAGAATTCAAAATCAAACCAACTCTGCCTTTTCAATGGAATGATCCTGACCTTGATAAAAATGTAGCCCAACAGGTGTCAGATTATCTCAAATCCAAGGACCTGTGAGCAAGAATGAGTAGCGAGAGAGAGAGAGAGGAATTGCCTCACCTCTTTACTCCATGCTGCTTTATAAAAACTGAAATGTAGATTTCTCCTTCTGTGGCAACCTAAAGACAAAGGAAAATACATCATTGATCACTTTTGCAGGAATTTTATTTAATTTTTGTTTGGAATAAGACTTGTTTTACCTGCCTCGTTTCACTGTCATCATACATGGTGCCTAGAATTTCCAAAGATGCTGAGTTAAAGGCTCCATCCATCATCCGTGTTGCACTTGTCTGATCGCAAGAGTTTGGTAAGATAGTGTCCAGGTGGTGTGAGAATATGAACCTGACTTGGCTGTGCCCAGAGGGAGGAATATGTAAAATGAGTTGATGGTTTGACATTTTGCCAAAGGTCAGCCCTGGTATGCCTGCAAGATCATATGGCTTGCTTCATGCCTCTCTTTTAATTCTTCCCATAGGTCATGAGTGACGCTGAATATGCAGAGTGGCTGAGGAATCATTTTTTAGCTGAAACCAGCATTGACAACAGGGAAGAATTACTACTTGAATCTGCCATGAGGTTGGAGAACAAACTTACCTTACTTGGTAGGTGAATGATGTTGTATTGCCTGAATCGAGGATTTTGAAAAATACTGGATATCTCTGAATAAGGGTGCCTTTTTTTCCACTATGATCTAATAAACATATATGGGTCTGCCTACCCTGTCCAGTGTCATCTCTATCCAACTTCCAGTCCATTCTATTCTGTTTTCCCCTGCAGTGAACTAGACTTCACTTGTGGTGGGATCAGAATTGTCACATTAAGAAGATCACGTAAAACCCAACACTAAACATAGAATACAAAGCCAACTAAATGTTCCAAATAAATATCTTGGTTCATATCAAGATAAATATCAAGAACAGAGTTTCTTTTCAGGCATTGGATAAGATGCCTAATATGTGTTATCTTTTTTTGAACTCTCACAACAAATCGCCATCTTATATAGAGGAAATTTGGGGCACAGAGCAGTTCAATGACTTGTTCAAGGTCACATGCTAGTAGCTAACAGTTACTCATTAACCCAACGTGGAACTCATAGCTGCCTGGCTCCAGGTCCCAGCTATTTATCCTGTACCTGCTTCTAGACTAAAAAAAATTATTTTTCTTCTCTTCCTGATTTCAACTAAAGTTGCACAACTGACACCTTTTGTCTTGGATTAAATTGCATCTTAGAATTATCTGAAGTGCTTTAAAAAAAAATACTGATGCTGCACCCTATCCCCTGGGATTCTGTGGTCTGTTGTGTGGCTTGGGCATTGGAACTTTTTAAAGCTCCCTAAAGTGATGCTAAAGGTGGTCAAGTTTGAGAACCACTGCTTAGAGTCTGGAGATCAGATTCTAACATAAGCTCTGATAATACCAAGAGACCAGCTTCTGAGCTCCATTCCTCTGTTTAGGAGAAAAACATTGACCTAGCTTATTATCTAGCAGATAGAGCAATGATGCCTACCCTAAGTGCTTTCTCCGTGACAGTGTAAGTAGTATACGTCCACATTTCCTCATCTGCGATTCCAAAATCAAAAATGCTCCATGGGTTTAGTGCCAAAATTCATTTGGCAGAAAAATCAGACCTGATTTGTCGTAAGACTATTTATAGTTCTTTATTATCCTAATTTGTGTGAACATTTTTAAGTTTTCCTGCAGAAATATTAATACACTTGATTACCAAGTATTGTAGAATATGGTATATGCACCCTATTACTTTTTTAATATTTGAAAAACATTTGGATTCCAAAACCATATGGCCCCAATTGTTTCAGAAAAGGGAACTTTAGACCAATGAAAGAATGTCGCAAATAGACATTACATCTTATTGGCAAGAGCATTCTTTAAAAGCCTGTCCTTTAAAGGACATGAACAGACATTTTTCTAAAAAAGACATACAAGTGGCCAACAAACATGAAAAAATGCTCAACATCACCATCAGATGCAGACAAGTGCAAATTAAAACCACAATGAGATGCCATCTTATACCAGTCAGAATGGCTATTAAAACGTCAGAAAACAACAGATGTTGGCAAGGATACAGAGAAAAGGGAATGCTTACATACTGCTGGTTGGAATGTAAATTAGTACAACCTCTATGGAAAACAGTATGGAGATTTCTCAAAGAACTAAAAATGGAACAATCCCACTACTGGGTATCTACTCAAAGGAAAATAAATCATTATATCAAAAAAGTACCTGCACTTAGAGGTTTATTACAGCCCTGTTTACAATAGCAAAGTTGTAGAATCAATCTAAGTGTTCATCAACAAACAAAGAATATGTGATATATATACATATCATGTATATATATATATATCTCACATACACACCACGGAATCCTACTCAGCTATAAAAAAAGAATGAAATTGTGTCTTTTGCAGCAACATGGATAGAACCGGGTGCCATTATCTTAAGTGAAATAACCCAGAAACAGTCAAATACGACATGTTCTCACTTATAAGTGGGAGCCAAATAATGTGTACACATGAACATGGAAAATGAAATAGTAGACATTGGAGACTCAGAAAGGCAGAGGATAGGTTCGGGGACAAGGGATGAGAAATTACCTAACAGGTACAGTTTACCCTATTTGCATGATGGTTACGCTGAGAGCCCAGATTTCGCCCCTACACAATATGTCAGTGCAACAAAACTGCGTTTGCACCCCTTAAATCTATAAAAATAAAAATAAATAAAATCCTACCCTTATTCTTGGGAATATCATAAAATTGTAGAATAAGTTTACATAAATAATTGACTCAAACCCCTTCAATTTACAGATTAGAAAACTAGCCAAAAGGAGAACAAGTAAGTTTGATAAATCCATTGATCCCTGAGGCTTCCTTCCCAGAATATTACATTGCGTATAATTTTGGTCTGGGTTGTCAAACCTCCTTTGACTCTCCCGAATCAACTGGGCAGTTTATATAGTTTAGGGTTGAGTTGGCTAGTAGATATGATTAAATTGTACCCTAGGTGAGCTTCAGCTGGCTTTGGTTTCTTACAAGTCCTGTTGCATTTTCGTTATTTTTTAGGTGCTACTGGCATTGAAGACCGGCTGCAGGAGGGAGTCCCTGAATCCATAGAAGCTCTTCACAAAGCTGGAATCAGGATGTGGATGCTGACAGGGGACAAGCAGGAGACAGCTGTCAACATAGCGTATGCATGCAAGCTACTAGAGCCAGATGACAAGCTTTTTATCCTCAGTACCCAAAGTAAAGTGCGTATCTTGAGATTAAACTGGTTCCTTCTGAGATTTGATGTATGCAAGCAGGAAAAACAAAACAAAACTAAACAGCAACCGTTAGCTTTTCTTTTTCTTTTTTTTTTTTTTTTTTTTTGAGACAGAGTTTTGCTCTGTCACCCAGGCTGGAGTGCAGTGATGTGATATTTTGGCTCACTCCGACCTCCGCCTCCTAGGTTCAAGCAATTCTCCTGCCTCAGTCTCCCAAGTAGCTGGGATTACAGGCGTCCGCCACCACGCCCGGCTAATTTTTGTGTTATTAGTAGAGAAGGAGTTTCGCCATGTTGGGCAGGCTGGTCTCAAACTTCTGGACCTCAGGTGATCTGCCTGCTTCAGCCTCCCAAAGTGCTGGGATTACGGCATGAGCCACTGTGCCTGGCCAGCAACCATTAGCTTCTTGATAATTTTTTCTATCCAGAAACCTACCTTGTTCTTGGAAGGATGTCATAGTTCTTCTAAAGGCTTGGTGGAAAATTATAATGATTCAGAGGAATCATTGCTGAATAAAGGCAAGAAAAAAGTTTTGTTTTTATTATTTTTATTTGCCTTCCTCACCTCCACACTGGATTACCACGGATTTGACAAGACTTAGCCCAAAATGGGAAAATATATCAAGTCCTGAGACAGGAATCCACCTTCCCTTCAAGATGAGAAAAAGTGATAGTTTCTATTGAAATCAGGTGAATATAAAATATTTTTTATGGCAATTCTAAAAGTAGACTCTTAGGGAAATCATGCCCTCTTGTGGTAATTCCTAGGTAGTGCTCCCAAGAATATCCTGTTTGAAGAACTGTTTAAGGGAAGAGGAAAATGTCGTTTTTTTAAAGAAGGAATTTTAGTCTTAGAATCAGCCCAGTTTTTTCTAGTTTTGCCTCCTGCTAATCACGAATACCAATGTTTAATCAGATAAATAAGGGTTTTATTTTTCTCAGAAGCTTTCCAGTATAGCGATACCCTCCAAGACTTGTGCACGTTGTTTATTTTTGTTGAAAATCTTCCTCCCACTCTTCTTCAGCAGCCAGATTTAATCAGTGATATCAGTCCCATCACTGCATCTGCCTTCTCTGAAATCTTGTGGCATTTTTCTTCAGGATCACTTCTTGAACTTTGTCACAGACTGCCTCATTGGTTAGCATGTTTTTATGGTCAGGCCTCAACCAGCACCCAAATAAATAGTACATTTCAAGAAAAAGGAAAAAAAAAGAGTGGGTTCTCCTTTACAGTGGCCCAATGACCATAACCACAACCACCAGCCAACTCCCAGCAGCTGCAGGGCGCTGAACACAAAAAAATGCTTAGTCATTTCAGTCACCAAAATAATGTAGCCTGGGTGGCCGGTCAGGCCGGTTGTCCTGGTGATTGAGGAGGTGAAGCTAGCATTTGAGGCCAGCATGGGCAACATAAGAACTTGACATTCAAAACAAAACAAAAAAAAAAAACTATCGATCAAATGCTTGGCTGTCGCTGACCATGTTTGTGGCCTTGGAGAGTTACTTACCTTCCTGTGCTGCTTTTTCCTTACTTGTAATGGGAGAGTAATGACTATTTCATGGGGTTTTTGTGGGCACCAAATGAGAAAATATAAGTTGTTTAAGGAGGTGCCTAGGAGATGAGATTCAGCAGACATTAAAAAAGAAAGGTAGACTTTTCGTGAACAGTAAAATCTTTAGGACTGTAAAATTCATTTATAAAGCAGTATATCCATGTAAAAAAATTACACTTGTACCCCTTAAATTTATATAAATAGGACATTATTTATAAATTCACAATTTACCTTATGTTTAAAGGCATTTAAAACTATCAATTCAAGAAGTATTTACTGAGTATCTATAATTTTTTTTTGCTATCAATAGTTATTTCACGTGTGAATTTTCCAAATAACTAAATATAATACAACAAACATAATTAATTTAATTTTATCACAACTCAAGGTAAAAAGCCTGGCACACAGCCGAGGCTATATTAGTAGAATTTAACTCCTTTCTTTCCTCCTCACACTCCAAGTCCTCCAGGAATCACTAAAGGACTTGAAGATCATGGAGCCCAGTGTGTCACTTAGTGAAGGAATTGCTCCTATAACATTCTAAGTAGGCAATGTGGCAGCCAGTGGAATGTCTGACGTCATCTCTGTTGTGTCAACTTTACAAATTTTCATCAACATTGTTCTTCAATTTGCAAATTAGATTATAAGTGTTGCCAGTTACAAACTTTACCTTTTATTCTCATAGAAGTTTTTTTTCTTCATTTATTTTAATATAGTCATATCCTGTATGTAACTAATTATTTGCATTAGAATATATAAAGGCCTTTCAGGATTGATCATTTAATTTTTTAAGTTTTATTTTTGTAATGTCATTTAAATTTTCTCCTGATTGGTAACTTTCTATCTTCATAATTTATATTAGAATCTACAAAAGGCTTCTCATACATGATCTCATTTGACAATTATAACAAACAGGCGTAGAAGATAAATGATCTGTTTTATAACCTGAGACTCCAAATGTTTGTGGTTTCTCTAAGTACAGCTGATTACTCACCTAAAACTTTAAATTTTCTGATTCCTATTTCAGTATATTTTAAATTATATATTACATATTATATATATATATACAGTTGATTCTCATTATTTGTGAAGTTATAGTTTAGGTAGTTACCTTGAGCTCTGAATTAGTAAACACTGACCACTGCTTCTAGAGGAGACCAGCTTCCTCTAAGCCTCTAATTACAACATACAGTCAACAATCAATACATGACCTTGTTTCTTCTTAAATGCACCTTACTTAATATATATATATATTAATAATTCATTAACATTTAATGCATCGCCAACAGCACTGTAACTTATACTCAAACAAAGCTTATCTAATATGGGTAATTTCCCCATAAAATTTCCACATCGCAGCCTTTTCTGCTTAGAAACATTGCAGCACCATGATTGGGAGTCATTTTAAATAGCAAAATCACTGCAAAAAGCAGAAAGATGCAAAAAATATGGCACCAAATAGTCCATGAAAAGTAGACTTTGTTACAGTTTGAGAAGTGACAAAAGAAGGCCAAGCTTCATGGTGTTCAGCTTCAGCTGGGACTATGCATATGGCATGACTCAAGTGTCACTCTATGCATGTGACACTCAGATGTCACTCTATGACATATGACCACAAAAGCACCACAAGTATTGTGAATTTATAGATAAATTTTAACAAGTAGGTGAATTTACAAGTGTGGAATCCACAGGTAATGAAGATCAGCTGTGTGTGTGTATGTATGTGTACTTCTGTTATTTTTATAATGAAAACATAGTTAATTGTAAAACCTAAACACATACTCAAATAAATAGAAGAGTACAAAAACTTTTATAATCAATTTATAATATTAAAACTATAATTTAAAATCATATTTTGGAGAATATCCATACAGCCTGTATTCTATATACTGTAAGCCTACTGATGCCACAAAGACTGTATTTGTATTATTGTATAGTATTGTAGCTGTATTCTTTCATTACAGATATCTTAAACACAAGCTGATGTTAATAGACATCTACATTTTCAATGACTGTGAGGCATGTTACTTTCTAAATGTACCATTTTAATTTAACCAAACTCCAAAAGGGTTTTAAAAATAATTTTTACTGTGATGTAATGAGCATATAATGAGCATATCTGATTCATCCTTGTATTCTTCTCCTTAAGGGCTTTGGAGGTGTACGGGATCAAATTCGTTCCTGAAATAAATGGAGCACCATGAACACTCCAACAGAGTGTTTATAGTTTTTGTGCTGTTTCATGTGCATGTATCCATATCTACTTCTTCCTTGCTTTTCTTATTTTGCTGTAGGTTGAGAAATGCTTGATAAAACAGCATTTAAAATCAAAGCAAACAAACTCTGAGTGAGAACTCTTTCATGAATAAACTGTTTCACACTTAGTGTATACACTAAACTTAAATTCACTGCTCCTGGGTTTGGAATCTGTTCTTAGTGGTCACTTGACATAGTAATTTCTGGATACACTTATTTTTAATCTTGAGTAGAATTCATTCAATGAATGTTTACTGAGTATCTGATGTGGTCCACTTTTAAACTTCATGAAGGCTTCAAAAGTAAATTAAAAGTGATACCTGCCTTTAAAGAATTTCCTAACTAGTGTGAAGTTAGGATGTATGCAAATGAGATGTAATAAGTACCACCAACATCCTGGCCAGAATGCAAGTGCCTTGAGGGCAGGAATTTTCACGTTTGTTGGTGTAGGTCTAGCTCATAGAATGTTTTCTAATATGTAGTTTCTCATTAAATACTTAGTGAGTGAATGAATATATGGAATCAAAAAGAAGATAAACATAATTACTGTTTCAGATGTCTGCCAGGGATCATGCCTTACACTAGGAGTTTTGCATGTATTATTTCACTCAATCCTCACAACAACATTATGATGGAAATAATATTTGCATTTTTAATGAAAAAGTTAAGGCTTAGAGATGTTACACAGTTTGCCTCAGGTCAAGAAGCTAATAATTGGCAGAATGAGACCAGAGGACTCTTGGGATTCACTGTTCGAGAAGGCAAATTGCACACATAAAGAAATTTCACAGCTATTTCGTTATAAGAAACACAGTTGGGGCTGAGATGTTTCCCTGTCCTTTTAACCCATCCTCACATATACACAGAAGGCTCTGTGGAAGACTTGTAAAGCCTTTGAAAATAATTAGCTATTCATTATTTGGATTTTTCTTGATTCAACAATTGCTAAAGAAAGACAACAAAAAAAGGTAACTGGTTCTGGCACCAAGGGAGCCTGAAGGCTAACTACCTTTGCCTCTTGTTTCAAGGATGCCTGTGGGACGCTGATGAGCACAATTTTGAAAGAACTTCAGAAGAAAACTCAATCCTCGCCAGAGCAAGTGTCATTAAATGTAGATTTACCTCAGCCTCCTGTCCCCCAGGACTCAGGGTTACGAGCTGGACTCGTTATCACTGGGAAGACCCTGGAGTTTGCCCTGCAAGAAAGTCTACAAAAGCAGTTCCTAGAACTGACATCTTGGTGTCGAGCTGTGGTCTGCTGCCGAGCCACGCCGCTGCAGAAAAGTGAGGTGGTGAAATTGGTCCGCAGCCATCTCCAGGTGATGACCCTGGCCATTGGTGAGTGAGGATAAATCTGGGTCCTGCACTTCCCCCTTTTACACCACATCAGAAGCCGATCCCTCTGTCTTTTTCCCCTCCCACTGTTCCTCCCGTTTTCCTCCTCCCTTTCTCTCTACCACATTCACTCTATTCACTTCTCCTCCATCAATTACTTGAGCACCTCTGTGAACCAGGTAGTAGGATGTGACATGGTAAACAATATAATACACGGTAAACAGTATAATATAAGAAGTCAGGACTTCTTAGTTTAGTGTCAGACCCCCAAATCAAGGAGCTTAAGCCAGGTAATAAACTGAATGACAGAACTGAAAAATCCATGTGTTCTGCCTTCAGGAAAGCTAAATTCAAGGACATGATAATTCATTTATTTATCCATTCAACAAATATTTATCAAGTACCTTCTTTGTATTAGGCATTTTTCTAAGGAATGGAGATAAAAGAGGACATAAAATTGACAAAGTACCTTTTTACAAGGAACTTACATCTAGTAGGAAGGGGTACAGTAAAACAAAGCATAAATCTGTAAGGTATCAGAGAGTGATAAGTACTATCGAAAAAATAAAGTGGAATGAGAAGATGTAGAGCACTGGAGATGGGGTGGGGCTACTCCTTTAAATACGATTTTCAGAGGTCTCACTGCTAAGGTTGACTGTGAGCAGAGACTTGAAGGAAATCGTAAAGGGCCATGGGAGATATGGGGGAGAACATTCCTGGAAGAGACGACAACAAAAGTGAAGGCCATGAGGGGAACCATGTTTGGTGTGTCAGAGGACTTTTCTGCAGGTTATTGAAGGTCAGAGAAGCTGCAGGGGGCCAGAGCACATAGGGTCTTAGAGGACATTATAAAATGTTGGCTTTTTTCTGAAGAGATTAGGGAGCCATTGAAGGATTTGGAGCAGAAGTGGGACATGATTTGCCTTAAATTTAAAATGATCATGTCGGCTTCTCTGCCAGAGTAATCGTTGGACCGCACCCAGGCTGAACGCTATAAAAATAATTCAGCAAGAGATGATGGCAGCTTGGGCACAGTTGGGAGCAAACGAAGGGGTGGGATGTGGTCAGATAATGGACATGGTCTGAAGAAAGAACCAGTGACATTTGCTGACAGATTGGATATGTTATATGAGAGAAAGAGTTGTCAAAGGGAATGCCAAAGTTACCTTTAAGAGCAAAAAGAACGAAACTGCCATTTACTCAAATAGTGGTGGGGAAATTGGGAGTTGGGTCTTACACATGTGAAGTTTGAAAAGGCTGGGCTGGGCGCGGTGGCTCACGCCTGTAATCCCAGCACTTTGGGAGGCCGAGTCTGGTGAATCACCAGGTCAGGTATTCGAGACCAGCCTGGCCAACATGGTGAAATTTTTAGTCTCTACTAAAAATACAAAAAATTAACTGGTCACAGTGGCAGGCACCTATAATCCCACCTACTCAGGAGGCTGAGGCAGGACAATAGCTTGAACCCAGGAGGTGGAGGTTGCAATGAGCTGAGATCACACCACTGCGCTCCAGCCTGAGCGACAGAGTGAGACTCTGTCTCAAAAAAGAAAGAAAGAAAAGGCTATTAAATGTCTAAGCAGTGATATCAGGTGAGAAGTGAGAATAAAATTCTCGAATTTAGAAATAAGGATTTGGCTAGAGACATAAATTTGAGAATCAGAAGCCTAGTGGATATCAGGCCGGATGCAGTGGCTCACACCTATAATCCCAGCACTTTAGGAGGTCAAGATAGGTGGATATCTTGAGGTCAGGGGTTCGGGACCAGACTGGCCAACATGGTGAAACCTCATCTCTACTAAAAATATAAAAATTGGCCAGGTGTGGTGGTGGGAGCCTGTAATCCCATATCTAGGGAGGCTGAGGCACAAGAATCACGTGAACCTGGGAAGCGGAGGTTGCAGTGAGCTGAGATCGTGCCACTACATTCCAGCCTGGGCCACAGAGCAAGATCCTGTCTCAAATAAAACAACAACAACAACAACAAGGAAGAGTCAAGTGGATATCAAAGCCTTGACACCAAAGAATGAGTATAACTGAAGAAAACTGTAGAAAGAGATTAAGATCTCAGAGACTCCAGTGTTAAGCTGAGGACTTGGCATATCAGCTCTCTCTTTCAGTGTCTGTTTTCCCTCTAGACTGCTTCCAGTCTCAGGTAACCTTTCCCCTCAGGGTGGTGATATAGCCACTGAAACTCCTGGGTTTCCATCCTATCCCATTAACAACTTGGGTGAAAAGATAGCATCACTTTTCAGATGGCTGCAGTAAAGTATCAGGAGTAGGGTGGAATTTTATTCAATTATCTTGTTGAATAAACAGATAAATGAATTAATTAAGCTTATGGATCCAGATGTTTCTGAAGTGAAAACTCCTAGACTTATATTATAATTGCATATTATACTTACATATTATAACATAGTTATATTATGATTATTATAATTATATTTGTTAGATAAATTATATATATAATTACAATTTATCTCATACATTATATATTGTGATTATATTATAACTTATAATAATATTATAATAATTAATATTAATAATTAATATTAATAATTAATAATAATATTAACTGAAGTCATATATTCATCTCGGAACCAATTACTGAGGCCAGGAACCAATAGAAGATGCTGATTATACAGATCTGGGTCACTTGCCTACCTGTAAATATGGAGGTTTGAGTTCACCCTAACAAACCTCACAAACTAAGAATTTCCAAGGAAAGTCAGTATACTTTTACTGAAAAACAGGTGAATTATTGGTGAGCAGTTGAGAACAATGTATGCTGATTACCAGCAGGAATGTGGTACCTCCTCCTAAGAAGCTCTCTATGTTGGAGGAGACCAGTAAGTCTGCATGAAACCGTGATGCTGTGTGATAGGTTTGCTAGAGATACGTAGGGTGGTGCTGAAGCCTAATGAAAGGGCATCTGATCTTGAAAAAGTTTGAGAAGGATTTCCCAGAGGAAATGACATCTAAGCTGAGAGCAAAAACAAATGAAACCCAGGAAAATGGGCTGGGGGTGATACGGACAGTGTTATATGCATGGCTACAGGGAGAAGGGTATATCTGGAGAGTTGGAAGTAGCATGAGTGGCATGAAAAACAAGATCAGTTTGGGTATGTGCCATAGCATGAAGGAATTTAAAGCAGTGTTGAGTTTGGAATTCTTCCTGATAGCAGTGGAATGCTGCTTTATTTCTGTCTCACTTTTCTTCCGGGAAACTTGGAGAAAGGGATGAACTTTGAAGGATTGTTCTGTTTACTTGAGCTGCCCCCATTGATTTGCAACATTTACACCCTTTCTTTACTCCTCATCTATTTCTCTCCTTTCTTCTGCTTCGTGAAGGTGATGGTGCCAATGATGTTAGCATGATACAAGTGGCAGACATTGGGATAGGGGTCTCAGGTCAAGAAGGCATGCAGGTGAGTGGATATTGTGCACCCAAGTTCTGTGGCCTTGACCTGCCCATCCAAAGGCAGCATTCTCCATGGTAAATTCTCTGTGGCCGAGTGAGTCTGTGTGTGGCTAGCTGAGGAGTAGGAGGCAGGAAGTTTACTCATCCATTCATTGATTATTTCCTAGGTGAGTATTATGGCATTTTCCTGGGTAATTTTAGCTGTATTGTTCACTTGTTAAATACAGAGCTTATCTAAATCACAGGAATATATATTTTAGTCCTGCAATAGCTGCGTAAATTCTGACTCTGAAGAAGCTACTATTTGAATGAAGGACCTAAAGATCTTGAGGCAGGAGAGGGAGGACCAAAAAAAAAGGGGAAAGAAGAGGATATGAGAGAGGAAGGAAGGAGGTGGGAGTGTCTGTGCACACGTGTGTGTGTGTGTGCGTGTGTGTGTGTGTGTGTGTGTGTGTTGATTGGTATTTTAGGCACAGAATTCAGATAAAAGCTCATAATCCAGAAAACCGATTTTCATTCATGTATGGAACAAGCGCTGTCAGAGGAAGGTGGAATATGAGGCCTAGGCTTTCCCAACAATTGTAAATTACAACATCTTTATGAAAGATGAGGGATTCACATACCTTTTGCCTGATACATTATACAAAGCCATATGAAGTCATAACTTCAATGCTTCTTAATATTCTCCCCGAGGAGAAGCAAATTCATATTGTGATGCAGAAGACAGAGTTCTTGCTAAGGAAGCTGCTTTCTAGCAAAAAAGTTCATTGGTTGAAAGTGCACCATAAGTAGTAACCAAAGAGAAATCCTGTCTCATGTGACAGTATTGGGAAGCTGAGTGGTAAATCTAGGCAGTCCACAAAGGTTCTGTACGCATGGGTTTTGTCGTTGTGGTTGCTGCTGTTTTGTGTGTGTGTTTTGTCTTTTAATCTGCATGTAAGGTTTAAACAGCAGATGTAACTGATTGGACTGTAGTGACGGTGAGGCTGACAGGGCTGTGTCTGTTCTAACATGTTTGATGGCTCAAAATGACATTCTCTCCATTGCGTCTGCAGGCTGTGATGGCCAGTGACTTTGCCGTTTCTCAGTTCAAACATCTCAACAAGCTTCTTCTTGTCCACGGGCACTGGTGTTATACAAGGCTTTCCAACATGATTCTCTATTTTTTCTATAAGAATGTGGTATGTAACCCCAGATAATTTGTCCCTTCTCCCTTCGTACCTTCCAAGCCTGTTGCATTAGGGATAAAAAGGAAGTGTCCTATGCTAAGCTCACTTTCCTTCTTTTTTTTTTTTTTAGATGGAGTTTCGCCCTTGTTACCCAGGCTGGAGTGCAATGGCACAATCTTGGCTCACCGCAACCTCCGCCTCCTGGGTTCAAGCAATTCTCCTGCCTCAGCCTCCTGAGTAGCTGCGACTACAGGCGTGTGCCACCATGCCCAGCTAATTTTTGTATTTTTAGCAGAGACGGGGTTTCACCATGTTGACCAGGATGGTCTCGATCTCTTGACCTCGTGATCCACCCGCCTCGGCCTCTCAACCCTTATTGATGTATTGGGAGCAGCCAGGGACGGTCTTGCTGTCTTATCAGAACTAAGCTGGGAATGTGATATGTTTCAGCTGCTGACAGCAAATTGCCAGGCTTGTCCATCTGCTAACATTTTGTTCTCCCTGTGCATTTAAATTCAATCCTGTCTGTTTCATTTAAAATCTAATTTTTGACCTTCCATAAAAAAGACTGTGACAAGCAGAATTATGAAATGTTTAATGCTATCTGTCAGTAGAGAATGAAAAGGTTTGCTTCTGTTTTACTGGAAATACCAAAAAATATCAGCTCTTCCAAATTAATGCCCCTTGTGTTATAATAAAGATGCAGATACAGATGAAAACCTAGTATAATGTCTTAGTGTGTAGCTGGCTGGTGCTCACAGATACAAGAATTATCTAGCCAACCTATCAAATGTATTTGTGCTCAGTAGTTATTTGACGATAAAGGAACTGTATTTTAATTATGTAATTCCTAAAAGGGCAGAATTTGATTAGAAATCCAGGCCTCTACTCTTGAACATGCTATTTAAATTTTAGTTTCCTTTTTTTTTTTTTAATAAAATCATATGCATCTAAGTATCCTCTAAGTCGGGGTACTTAATGTAAATGTGTCATGAATTTTAGGTCAAATTCACTCTAGTCATTAAAGTTCTAATATGTAGTATGTTAGTAGTAGACAGGGGTTGATGTCACTCTATTAAAATACCATTTTGAGGAAAAAAAAAGTTGTTTTTAGGAGATCCCAAATGTGTATTTGAACTCTGTGTGCGTGTGTGCCTATGTCCATCAGTAGGAACATTTTTTTTTCCCTGCAGCACAATACACTTTCCAGGAATCTCTCAAGACTTTAATAATTAGAATTAACGCAGTTGGTCAAAGTTTAGTAAAACTCAGATACTTTAGGAAAATATTTGAAATGTATAAAATCTCTGCCTACGTATGCACTTCTGGGGAAAACTGGGGCTTGTAATTTCCAATTCCAGGACTTAGTGGTCAATGGCTTTTAAAGAGGAGCCCCCCTCCCAAGTTTTTATTTTAAACCTTTGCGTTTGTTCACCTCCTCCCCTATTGTGGCAATATCCATTCACCTCCCCTCCTCTTTTTAACTCCAGATTGAATCGAACAGTTAAGAAATACTGGTATTAGGCAGAGATGCTATACACTATCAGAGAGGGAGGGTGTTCACTAGTAGAGAGAATCAGGACCTCAGTGGTCTTCCCGCTCTGTAATCCTTGAGTGGCCATTCATACTGATAATCTCCAGAATTAATTTATGTCTCTTATTTACCTAGCTAAACAGTGCATATTTTATATGCTGTGCAAAGGTCTTGGTCCAGAAGCCATTAGAGTAGCTTGTCTTTCTAAGGCCGTGGTTCTTGGATATTGGACAACCTTTGAGGTGCCAATGAAGACTATGGATTCATTTCTCCAGAATACTGTCCCATACCACCTGTACCCAAGATTCATGCATTTTCAGAAACTGGGCATCATGCATGTCTATAGATGCTAGACTACGAAAATCTCTTCTAAGGATTGTGGCCCTTGTCCTGAGGTTCTAATGTATCTATGATGACAATATTTTTTTATAAGAATATAAGACACTTTACAGATCATGACAACTTTCTTGTTTTTTTGCTTGTTTGTTGAGACAGGATCTCACTCTGGCCCCCAGGCTGGAGTGCAGTGGTGTGATCTCGGCTTACTGCAACCTCTGAGTTCAAGCTATCCTCCTACCTCAGCCTCCCGAGAAGCTGAGACTAAAGGTGTGCACCACCATACTCAGCTGATTTTTGCATTTTTTTGGTAAAGATAGGATTTTACCATGTTGGACAGGCTGGCCTCGAACTCCTGACCTCAAGTGATTTGCCTGCTTCAGCCTCCCCAAGTGCTGGCATGCAGGCACAAGCTACTGCATCCAGCCGATCATGACCATTTTCTAACTTGACCTTGACACTAATCCCTAAGGTAGTATAATTCTCATTTTAAGAGGAGGAAATAATTCAGGGAGGTTAGGAAAATGGCCTAAAGGCAAAGAATCAATGGGAGTTATCCCCCAGCCTTGAAACAAAACTCCCTCTCTATCTAAGTCCAGTGTCCTTTCCTGTGGCCTGCCCTGCTTGAGAGCATAGAGCTTTTTACACTGAACTTAGTTTTTCTGAGACAAAATACTGCAGGAAACCATGTAGGATGCCCGCGACTGGCCTCTAGGGTGACCAACTGTCCTGGTTTCCCCAAGAGTGTCCCCGTTTTAGCACCGGAAGTCCCAAGTCCTGGGAAACCCCTCAGTCTCAAGCAAACTGGGATGGTTGACCACTCTGCTGGCACCATTCCACTTTACCACTACGTATTTATAAACCTAGAAGGCAAGAGAATGGACATTTGTGCTGTGCCTACTCTGTGTCTGTGCCAGGGATTGGGCTAGTTCTCTTCATCGAGTGTTAAGTCCTTCAATTTGAATACTTGTTCTGCTACTTATTAGAACCACATGCCTGTGGGCAAGTTTCTTAGTCTCTCTGTTCCTCAGTATCTTAATCCAATCAGGCTGCCATAACAAAGTACCACAGACAGGTGGTACAGGGCTTGTAAACATTTCTTCCCCACTATTCTGGAGGCTGGAAATCCAGATGAGGGTACCAGAATAGTCAGGTTCTGGTGCGGGTTTTCTTCCAGGTTTTAGATTTCTCATTATATCCCTACATAGAAAGAGATGAGATGATGAGAGCTCACTGGGGTCTCTTTTATAAAGAAACTGATTCCATTCATGAGGCCTCCAATGTCATGACCTAATCACCCCCCAAAGGTACCACCTCCTAACACTGTCACAGTGAGGATATGCTCTGTGCTCTCAAGCAGGGAAGACCACAGGAAGCAACACTGGGCTTAGATAGAGGGAGTTTTATTTCAGGAGGATTTCATATGAATTTTGGGAGGACGCAAACATTCTGTTCATTACACTCAGTTTCCTGATTTGTAAAATGACAACAACAATGTAATTCCCAAGTTGTTGTGATGATTAAATGAATTATTCATAAAGCACTTAGAACAGTGCTAGTACCACATAGTAAATGTGGGGTGTGTGTGTGTGTGTGTATGTGTGTGCTTACGTGTCTGTCTGTGTGTGTATATATATGTGCACACTTCAATTTAATAAAATATTTACCCAAAAAAGCTACAAGGTAAATTGTGGTCCTCTCTTATGTAAGAAAACTGCAGGGAGGCTGAGGTCACCCAACTCAAAACGGCAGCATTTGGAATGTGTAATCATAGCACACATTACTGATTCTAAGATCTGAATGTCCTTCTTTGTGTCTCCAGGCCTACGTGAACCTCCTTTTCTGGTACCAGTTCTTTTGTGGATTTTCAGGAACATCCATGACTGATTATTGGGTTTTGATCTTCTTCAACCTCCTCTTCACATCTGCCCCTCCTGTCATTTATGGTGTTTTGGAGAAAGATGTGTCTGCAGAGACCCTCATGGAACTGCCTGAACTTTACAAAAGTGGTCAGAAATCAGAGGTAGGTGTTAAAACAAGAGTGTTTGGATGGATACATGTCGATTGTCAAAGCCAGTGTGTTTTCTTCATTAGCCAGGCCGAATATTGCAGTCCACTCAGAACTGTTGAAATATCTGATTGTTTGAAAAGATCTCTACTCATGTAGCAGATATTAACTTACTTGCCTTTGAGAGAAATACAGATTAATCTATGAAGGGCTTTAGGTACTTATAAGAAGAAATCTCAAGTTTGAACCTTATAAACAATAATATCTAACATTTACTAAACCTCATTGCCATCTGTTGTGCTAACTACTTAACATTCCCTGTCTCATTGATCCTCATGAAAACAAGTTGAGACAGAACCTAGTATTGGTCCCATTCTAAGATAAAGCATCTCAACCTTGAAGGGGTTAAATAATTTTTCAAGAAATCCCACCACTAAAAAGTGGTTTGGCATATGTTAGAAATAATAGGTTCTGTTTAGTCTGAGTTTCAATTCTGGTTCTGCGTTTTGTGACCTTGGTACATTTTTTAACTTGCCTGTGCTGCAGTTGTCTTTACTTTATGGAAATGATGTAAGGATTAAGGAAGATAATACAGGTACAATTTCCAGCCATAATAAGCTTTCAGTATTGTCATTTTTACCCTCCAGAATTAACCAGAAATTTGAGGAAATCACAAATTTAAAATAATGCATTTATTTCCATGAGTCTAACTATCCTGACTTGAAATGGAATTGAGAGTCATTTAGCATCCTTATACTACCTAGAACAACCGACAGAGAAATCACAGATTCAGCTTTCAGGGAAGAAGAGAACCTCATAATCCTTTAATATCATCCAATCCTTTCAAATCAAGGAACTGCATGGATTTTCCTAAAGGAGTCCAATGTGACTTAAAATTCAAGCCAGGATGCAAGAACATGTGGTTGATGTCACTGAAGCTTGTCCCAAGCCCCAGGCATAATTGAAATTCCAAGTCTATTGAGGAAAGGAGGATTGAGGGAGATTTTCAATTAAAGTTTTTATAGCCAGCATTTTAAAACCCCATTTGTATGGACTAAAGATTGGTATTGGTCCTTATCCTTGGGAGAAGTGAGATCATTGTTTACTGTTGTTGAATCCTCTCACCGATCCTTTGTACACATTGTTCTAGTGAAATGGCCAGTTTTATAAAACATGATCATAGCAGGCAGGTTTTCCCAGCATGTAGCTGTTGATAAAAGGTAACTGATTCCATTGACTTTATCCTCAAAAACGTGTCCTTTCTTTGAACTTGGTCTCCAGACAAACTGTTTCATGCTTGGGCCCTTTTCCTGTGTTCAGTGTAGTGAAATATACTCTCCAGGGCTACAGAATCTCTCTTCTCTAAAGATGAGTGTGGGAGGCTGCAGTCAGACACTTCCCTTCCACGAAGCCTCTCCCCTATCTCTCATCACCCACACAGCCTTCTTTTCTGTCTTTGGCTTCATGTCCAGATTTTCCCCTTTCAGTTTCCGGTAGACCCCATGAGTTAATCCCTCCAGCCTCTCATTTATCTTAATCATGATCCTTCCCTCTTTACTTTTGTCAGTCCTGTTCCTCATGTGACTGGGGGAAATTGTGTTTCTTTTCTTTTACTCTAGGTTCTTTGAGCAACCTCTACTTCCCCAGATGCATGAAGTCATACTTTAACTTCTCCCTAAGTGGTTCTCTGTTGTCCGTGGCATTTTGCTTGCCCCTTTGTCTCTGGCACATTCTCTTCCACCATTGGATTGGGCTTCTGCTGAGATGTTATGGACACTTAGTTAAAGAAAGGCAGGTAGAATATCCCATCATACCCAGTGAGGAAATAATAGAAGAAAAGAAAAGTGGGCTGGAAACAATGAATCTTCAATGCTTTGATTTTCCAGAGGAAAAAGGGATAAAAAAGGATAGATGTAAAAATTCCAAGTTTATTTATTTTAAAGAATAGAAGAATGTATGTGGAAAATTTGTATGGTTACAAAGCTTTGTTCTTTAAGAGACAGTGTAACATTTTCGAAGAAGTTTCAGCCTCTGCATTTGGAAGAAAACAAGACTGAGAGCATGTTAAGAAAAGACTAGCTCATGGATGTGACACGTTTTTCCATTTTTGTTCATGGGAGATACTACTAATAAATGATAGCACTCTTTCCTGCTGGATCTGAATGCAGCCTCAGAATCCTTCACACAACCTCAGAATCCAACTTCAATCAGAGTTGACTCTTGTTTGAAAAATAATTTTCAATAATTTTACCATTCTCTACATACTCTTTTTCTTTTTTTCTCTAAGAGTTGTGTAGGAAGCAGTTTAGTGCATGGAAACTTGTATACCAATACTTTATTAACTCGATACACATTTGTTGGGCACCTGCTATATCCAAGGCACTATTTTAGTCACTTAAATAAAAGAGTCAACATTCCGCTTTATGATGCTTGCATTCCATGGAGAGAACTAGAAAATTTATTAAACAGACAGAATTCCTGACAGTGATGATATACTTCTCAGGTTTCCACAGTAGTGAGTGCCTGAGTGGGCACAACTTTTAAACTGGTTTGGTGTGCCTGTGTGACGAAGTAATATTTGAGCTAGGATACAAGTAATGAGAAACTGCTCATGTAGGAGAACCAGGAAAAGAATTCCTGGCAGAGAGAATAGCATAGGTAAGTCCCTGAGGAAAGAATGGATTTGGCACATTTGAAGAAAAGAATGAAGGTCACTTTGCAGAATCAAAATGGCAAGAAGTAATTGTGGAGAATTATTTAGTGGGCAAGCCATGTAGGACCTTATAGGTCATGAGAAGAAACTTAGATGGTGTTGGAAATGCAGTGGAAAGTCATTGCGGGGAGTGGAAGAAGCCAGTTTGATTCATTAGAGAGATGGCATGAACTGATTTACATTTTTTTTTTTAGTCCATTTCCCATTTGCCCCAAGAATACTGCACTGGAAGCAAGCTGCCTCTTTTTTTTTTTTCTAAATGGGAAATGGGTTAAAGACCATCTGGCTGATTTGGGAAGATTAGATTGAGAGTAGAGGAGGAACAAAGAGGGCAGTTAGATGACTATGCAGCCATTCACAGAGACAGTTGATAGTGAATTGAAACGAAGGGAGTGATTTAGAGAAAGAGGAATGGATATAGTCGGAGAAGTTTTGGAACAGTACTTTCGGATCAGTAGGCAAGGAGGGATTCGGACTACTGGTGTATTTCAGCTAGATTTAAAATGTATCCAGTAATAAAGGCAACCTGAGTTGAATAAATGTTCCTTCAAGGATTTTTTTCATCATGTTTACTTGTGAACCCATCACATTCAATTACCCTCAGTCTTTACCTCTGTTGACAAATACCACTTATTTCATGAGTGAAAGAATGAAGAAATGGAGTTTTCTCTCAGAGAAGCAAATGAAATGTAAGTACTGGCTTGTGTTGTTTCTTTTCTTGGATCCTTGTTAATCTTACTCCCTCCCTATTATCTGCTTCATTTCTAGGCATACTTACCCCACACCTTCTGGATCACCTTATTGGATGCCTTTTATCAAAGCCTAGTCTGCTTCTTTGTGCCTTATTTTGTGAGTCTTTGTTCATTCAGTATATTTGTTACTAATGAATCAGTGATGCTTCTTTGTATTTTGGCCACCAGTATCAGAATAAAGGAGGGCAGATTGCTTATATAATCAGGTTGATTATTAACTGACTAAATTATAATCTCCCCCAAAAACTATGGTTAGGTAATGGATTAAATTTAGATAGAAGTACCTAGTTTGAGTCCTCTTAGGTCTCTTGTTAACCTTGTACTGCTTAAAGAATTTTGTCAGTGACTTGAAACAAATTGGATGTCTGGCTGTATAATTAGATTAGTCAAAAATTAGACAGGCTGGGCACAGTGGCTCACACCTGTAATCTCAGCACTTTGGGAGGCCGAAGCAGGTGGATTGCTTGAGCTGAGGAGTTTGAAACCAGCCTGGGCAACATAATGAGACCCCCATCTCTACAAAAATTTTAAAAATTAGCTGAGCATGGTGGTGTGGACCTGTGGCCCCAGCTATTTGGGAGGCTGAGGCAGGAGGATCACTTGAGCCCAGGAGTTCTAGGCTGCAGTAAACTGTGATTGTGCCCCTGCACTCCAGCATAGACAGCAGAATGAGACCCTGCCTAAAAAATAATCAGAGAGGAAATGCCAGAATATGAAAGCTTTTATTAGTGAGTGCTGGGCTAATTCTACTCTAATGATATTCAGGGTATTAAATTTAAGATTCCATAAGTACTGTCGCTGAAACTATGAAACCTGTTTTACAGGTAAAGAACGGAAGAAATGTAACAAAGCAAAGAACGTATAAAATTTAATTTTAAAAAATTTAGGCTAACACCAAGCACAAAGCAGCATTGTGTAGCTGCTCACCCACATATACCCCTCTCCTCAAGAAACCTGTTTTATCATGGATGATATTAATAGAAGTACAGTATTAAGAATGAAAAATGATCATTTTAAAATTAACAGTTTTTATTTTTTTTTCAAATAAAATCATTTGAATTAGCCTTGCTAGAGTTTTCTGGCTCTACTGTACTTCAAGAGAAATATAAACAAGGCAATCTGAAGTATATTCAGAGGAGAATGAAGATGATGGTGAAACATGAGAAACTTGTGTCATTAGAGGAATAGTTTAAGGACTTGAAGACATATAGGAAAGGAGGGTATATTTACCTAGGAAAGGTAGTCATAATAACTGCCTCAAAGATTTGTAGCTCTGTTAAGTAGAACAAATTTATCTATACCTTAAAAAGCTACAAGTGTGAGTAAAAGCTTCCAGGAGGATCAATTATGATTCAGAATAAAGAGGAATTCCAGTTGAAAAAAATTGAAGATTAGATGCCCTCTCTGGAAGAGAGTCAGTCTCTTAGTTGTGAAAAATGTTCAAGTTTATTTCAAATGGCCAGTTCACAAGGACATTGTAGAAGGGACTCAAGCCTTGGTTGAGCTATAGATGAAGTGATGCCCCCCACACCAAGTGTGCACAACTCACCAGGATCATCTAATGTTCTCTCTTTGTAGATCTACCAGGGCTCAGATATTGACATCTTTGCATTTGGAAACCCCCTGAACACAGCTGCTCTGTTCATCATTCTCCTCCATCTGGTCATTGAAAGCAAGAGTTTGGTGAGTGGTCTTCTTGCTTCTGAAGTAGCCAAAAGTATTTTATGCTTGGGTATATGACTTCTATTAGCAGTGACCCTGAAGATAAATGCTAATGAGAAGAGTAATGAATCTATGGGAGATGGGTGATCATAGCTACTCTGGGTGATCATCGAATGCCATTATGCTGAAGTTGATGTGTAGCTGGGGAAATTGGAAAACACCTTCCTGCTCCCTTTGGTAGTATTGGTGGCAGATGGTTCATGGAGACATGAGGCAGACTAGAGGGATATTTACCCTTCATTCTTCAAGACCAAGTTGATGACTTTCAATGAAAATGAAAAAAGCTGTTGTATCATAATCCTGGTAAAGTGATTTTAGGGATGATTTTATCCCTTCCTCATAATTAAAAAAAGGCCGTTTTGGCTCTCCTTTGGGTAAAACCCTTCAGTGGTTTCCCATTGTACTTGGAATAAAATTTGAAAGCCCTAAGATGATGCAATGATGCCATATTTCTCTCTCCAATCTCATTTCCACATATTCATGGACTGGAACCACCTTATCCCTCTTTCAGTTTCTTCAGTACATTGAGCTCATTATCACTACAACATCAGGACCTTGGCACTTAACATATCTTTTAATGGAGGCATTTTTCATTCCCCCTTGTATCCCTGCATGTCACCCAGCTCAAATGTTATTTTAGATTTCATCAAAAATATAATTTCCCACAACAGCCCTTCTCTAACCACCCAGTCTTTGATACCATTCTCTTGCTTTTGCTCTTAACTCTAATCATAATTTATAATTCTTTATTTAATTATGTGATTATCTGAGGCCAGGTGCGGTGACTCACACCTGCATTTCCAGAGCTTTGGGAGGCTGAGGTGGGAGGATCACATGAAGCCAAGAACATAGCTGCTCAAGACCAGCCTGGGCAACATAGTGAGACCCTGTCTCTACAAAAAATAACCAACTGTGGTGGCACATGCCAGCAGTCTCAGCTACTTGAGAGACTGAGGCAGGAGGATCACTTGAGCCCAAGAGTTGGAGGCTGCAGTAAGCCATGATCATGCCACTGTACTCCAGCTTGGGAAACAGAGAGAATCCCTGTCTCTAAAAACAAAACAAAACAATGTGATTAGCTTATTCATCTTTATCTTCCGCATTAGACTATACTCTCTGTGAGGGAGGGGTTCATGCCTATTTTGTTCAACACTATAGACCAGTGTTAAGGACAATACTAGCACACAGCAGGTGCTCAAAAAATATTTGAGTGGATAAATAAATGATTAAATAACCAGTTTTCAGTTTACCGTCCTGGTAATATATGAATTTTAAATAGGAAACAGCTGAATAAGGTTATAGTTTGAAATATATGAAGTTATATTACAAAGTTGTTTATAACAATTTCTAAAGTAGGGTTGATTATTTTGGACATTAGTTGCTTTGCTTGTAATCATCTATAATCAAATCTTACAAGCTGAAATGTAGTAAAAGGTTAATACCTGCAAATACCAGATGGGTAGAGTGAAGGGAATTATAGAACTGAAATATTTGGGATTGTTTTTATACCTATTCATTTTTAAGCAATTGCACTGGTACTTTTGGTAGCCACCTGAGAAAGTGCCGAAGATTCTGACATTTATTAATGTTCCAGAGGATTTATCACATAAAGTGTATCAGTTTGGGTTCACTGACTATTAGCAACATCATCTGGATAACGTGAACAAATGGAAAGTTATTAAAAATATAATGAAGAACCATGATAGAACAAAATAAAGAAAAGCAAAAATATGTGAGAAACCAGAGTGACTCCAGAGATCCACAGAACAGAGACTAATGGACAGGCTTGTCAGAATGGTCCTCTGGCCTGAATTGGCTCCATTCATTTTCTTTCGGCTCTTGCCCCATTGTGCTCCAAGTCTACTCTCTTGTGATGGAATCCTATTTCCCTAGCTTCAGTCATAGGCTTTGGCTAGCGGAGGAATATTTTGTCAAGACTGCAAGCAATGCTGGCCATCCTCACCAAGACGGGAAATGAAAGCTAGAGTCAAAGATAAACAGTGACTACTGTTTAAAGGATGCATTGTTAGATAATTGTTTCTTATGCTGGAGGATGCATGGCTAGAGATCCTGGCCTTGCGGGTCTCTTGTCAATAAAGAATCAGCCATTCTGAAAGTATAAAACTCTTTCCCTTCATGCTCTTATTCACCATCTCATTGCCACCCCCCACTTCTCTGTTGGTTTTTACCCAGTATTCCTTGACTTTTACTCCTTTGTATCAATTCACTTAAATGTATAAACTCTGTGAAGTCACTATGTCACTTGCCAAAAGCATATTTTAAGAGAAAAAAAAATTGGAGCAATATGGCTCAAATAGAAGGAAAGGCATTTGAGAAAGAAGAAAAGGAATTATTGTTTTAAGGGCACAGATATCTTAATCCAGGAGTTAGCTAACGTTTTCCTTGTTGTTTATACATTTTATTTAAAAATAAGCAGTCTTTGTGACTCTTATGAAGATATCTGCCGTGGGGAAATACTTTGCAAGATTAGGAGAGAAAAGGAGAAAATCTGATTTTATTTGGAAATTATAGCCCTAGAAAATAGATTAATAAAGGCAGTGTTTCCCTAAAAAGCATGATATGTGCCACCAGTAGTACACACCATGATTTTAGGTAGCACTGCAAACTGCACTAAATAACACTAAATACTATATAATGCGAAGGTAATTCTCTTCATACTTCTGATTATATCAAAGAGGTATCTCGTTTGATGCTAGTATGTTTTATCATAGTAATTCTTGATCATTTCTCTTTATAACAGAGATTAATCAAATCCCAGACCCAGCACTTTTATAACAATGTTAGTATTATGAGGTTGGTAGAACAAAACTGCAATTATTTTTGCACCAGCCTCATACATTAAAATAGGGATATACTTTTCTTTTTTGAATTTAAATTTCTTTTTTTTATTTCTAAAATGTTTGCGGGTATATAGTAGGTGTATATATTTATGAGGTCCTTGAGATGTTTTGATGCTGGGATGCAATGTGAAACAAGAACATCATGGAGAATGGGGTATCCTTCCCTTCAAGCATTTATCCTTTGAGTTACAGAAAATCCAAATAGATTCTTTAAGTTATGTTAAAATATACAATTACTATTGACTATAGTCACTCCATTGTGCTATCAAATAGTAGGTCTTAGTCATTCTATTTTTCTTTTGTACCATTAACCATACCCACCTCCCCCATACCTCCGCTATCCTTCCCAGCCTCTGATAACCATCCTTCTACCCTCCATGAGTTCAACTGATTTGATTTTTAGATCCCACAACTAAGTGAGAACATGCGGTATTTGTCTTTCTGTGCCTGCTGTATTTCAGTTAACATAATGACCTCTAGTTCCATCCATGTTGTTTTAAGTGATAGGATCTCATTCTTTATTATGGCTGAATAGTATTCCATTGTGTATATGTACCACCTTTTCTTTATCCATTCATCTATTGATGAACACTTAGGTTGCTTCCAAATCTTGTCCATTGTAAACAGTGCTGCGGCAAACATAGGAAGGAGTACAGGTGTCTCTTCGATATACTGATTTTACTGATTTCTTTTCTTTTGGGTGTACACTCAGCAGTGGGACAACTGGATCATATGGTAGCTCAATATTCAGTTTTCTGAGGAGCCTCCAAACTATTCTCCAGAGTTGTTGTACTAATTTACATTCTCACCAACAATGTACAAGGGTTCCCTTTCTTCCCCACCCTAACCAGTGTTTGTTGTTGATTGTCTTTTGGGTACAAGCCATTTTAACTAGGGTAAGATATCTCATTGTACTTTCTTTTTTTTCTAGATAAAGTTACGTAGTAAGCCAATGTAAAGAAAAATAGTATTGCAAGATATACATGAATATGAAAGTAGCTAGGTATATATGAATATGAAAGTAGCTAGGCTGTGGTGTGACACACAAACATTTATTTCTTGCTCATATAAAGTTGGCTGACATTCTGGACAGCTCTAGAAGCAACTATCCTCTGAGAGTACTTCTTGGTCAGTATGAAAGGAAGGAGACAGCATGAAAAATTGCACACCAGCTTCTAAGATGAAAGTTTTACATACCGTCTGTACTTATATTTTATTGGTCAAAGCAAGACAAATGGCCATGCCTAATTTCAAAGGAGTGTGGAAATGCAATCCCCCTGAACATTTACTCAGGGAGAGGAATAACATTAATGGTGAGCAACAGTACTGTCTAACACCTATTTGAATGGCTTAAGTTTGAGGTTCACTGGGTTAAGGTATTACATTAATGAAGAAACAGACCAATAAGTGACTATTTGAAAAAAAATTAAGGAGAAAATCCAGGCACCTCTTGGTGCATGGATAGTACAGAATAAACTAGTCAACAGAATTCCCTTTTGGCATTTGATTTGGTTTTACAGAATTCAAACAGTGACGTAACTTATTCACAAAAAATACTCCTATCTCCTCGACATCTTATATTTTGTTTGTTAAGGTTACATCATTCATCCAGAGCATAGATGTGTTGTCTCTTTAATGGAGCAGATTTGTCCAGGTGGCAATATCATGTCAGTGAGAGAGCATTCATTTCCTCTGCTCTTCTTGTCTTACAGACTTGGATTCACATGCTGGTCATCATTGGTAGCATCCTGTCTTATTTTTTATTTGTCATAATTTTTGGAGCCATGTGTGTAACTTGCAACCCACCATCCAACCCCTACTGGATTATGCAGGAGCACATGCTGGATCCAGTATTCTATTTAGTTTGTATCCTCACAACGTACATTGCTCTTCTGCCCAGGTATGGTATTTATTTTATCATTGAGGGAATAAATGGAATTATAGGCTAAGAGTCCTTCAAGCAACTACTAAGAATGGTTGGCAGGCCACTCTGTTTAGTAGTGAGAAAGTCAATCTGTGTCCTTGTTAAAATATTGGTTTTAACTGTTTTATCAGAGAACAAAACTGACTTAAGCAAACCGAGAAATTGATGTATCTCTCATGAAAAAGTTTATCCGGTTGACAGTTCACAGGGTTAGGGTAGCTTTGCTTCACAGGGTTTTCTAAGGACCTAAATCCTTTCCTCTATCTTTTCACTTTGCTGTCTCCCAAGGGTCAGGCCCTTGTTTGGGCCCATTTTGTGCTGCTACAATGGTATACAACAGGTAACTTATAAACAGAAATTGTTTGGCTTACAGTTTTGGAGGCTGAAAAGTCTGACATCGAGGCACCAGAAGATTTGATGATTCTGATTCCAAGATGGCACCTTGAACACTGCACCTTCAGACAATGGAAGGGCAAAGAGGCAAAAGGGAATCGAACTTGCCCTTTTATAATGGGATTGATCTCACTCATGAGGGCTCAACCTCATGACGTCTTAAAGGTCCTATCTCTTAATATTGTAAAAATGGCTGCTAAATTTCATCATGAGTTTTGGAGGGAGTAAACATTCCAACCATAGCAGCCCTCATCTGCATGACTGAAGATGACTCACCAGCTGATCCCCAACCCTGCTTGTCCCTGTATACAGGAATGGGAAAGTAGAGGGAAAGCAGCTTTGTTTTTGTATTTTTGTTTGTTTTTCTTGTAGTAGCATGAACCTGTGAATGTACATTGTAACTGAGTGGCTAAAATCTCGGGGTTTCTAAAGGCAAGAAGGAGAGAGTGTGTATTGAGGGACAAGTAGCAGTCTCTGCTACAATCTGTAAACACTGAACACTTTCAACTCTCCTGTCTTACTGAGTTCATTTATCCGCCCCCCCCCCATTCTAGTTTAATCTGATTTATAATATTGTATGGGATGGAAATGACTCAGAAGAATACATGGATTTTTAATATATAGATTTTTGGAACTCAGAATGCATCATCGTTGCAGTTTCACAAAATCTGCTTAGCTGGAAAGATTATAACAAATAATTGTTCTGCTTTTTTTAAACATAAATGAGTTTTAATGGTGAGTTCACATTATTCTATAACAGCATCAATAAACTGTGGCAAACAGGCCAAATTTGGCTACTGTCTGATTTTGTAAATAAAGCTTTGTTAGAACATAGCCATAGTCACTTACTTACATATGATCTATGGCTGCTTTTGCAATACAACAGCAGAATTGAATAGTTCCAGCAAAGATTGTCTGACTTCCAATGCCTAAAACATTACTATCTGGCCCTTTACAGAAAAAGTTTGCCCGCTCTGATCTGTAACTGTATCATACGGCACACTGGACACAACCCATTTGTTTTTGCTGATGAATGTCTCTTCTAGAAATGCATAAGAAAACCTATCTGAGTTACTCAATTGTACTTATACATAACAATATCACTGTGAAACTAAGATACTTCTATAATGCTCACTGCTATTGCCAGCTTCTGGATTAAAAACTGACACGATGGACTTATAGAATTTCTGAAAAAAACAATTACTTTAAGGTTTTAGCTTTAAAAATTCTGGGCCTTAACAGTATTGTTCTAATATTATTGTGGTAAGCTAAAATATGACTCCCTAAAAGATTTCCATGTCCTAATCCCTGTAACCTATAAATGTTATCTCATGTGGCAAGGAAAGTACTTTGCATAAGTTATTACATTATGTATCTTGAGAAGGGGAGATTACTCTGAATTATCCATGTGGATCCTAAATGTAACCACAAGTGTCCTTATAAGAAAGAGGCAGAGGGAGATTTGACACAAAAGAGGAGAAGGCATTTTGATTATGGGGTCAAAGATTCCTTAGCCACAAGCCAAGAAATGTCAGAAGCCACCAGAAGCTGGAAGAGGCAAGGAATAGATTATCTTCTAGAGGTTCCAGAGGGAGCATGGCCCTTCCAGTACCTTGGTTTTGGCTCAGTGAAGCTAATTTCATAATTTTTTGCTTTGAGAATATTTAGAGAATAATTTTTGTTCTTCTAAGCTACCAAGTTTATAATAACTTGTTATAGCAACCATAGGAAACTAATACAGATTTTGGTACCCAGAATAGTTTTCTGCTATAACAAATGCCTAAAACTGTGGAAGTGGCTTTGAAATTGGATAATGAGCAGAGGCAGGATGAATTTTAAGGCAAAGAATAGAAAAATCCTAGACTTCCTTACACAGGTTCTTGGTAGAAATATTGACATTAAAGTTGTAACCAGTGATCTTGATAGCTACATTTACTTATTAGTTCCAATTTTTTTTTAGATTTTCTACGTATACAGTCATGCCATTAGCAAGTAATGACCAGTGTATTTCTTTCTTTCCAATACTTAGGCACTTGATTTTTCTTATTGACCTGGCTAGGAAAGCTTGTCTTGTTTCTGATCCCAGAAGGAAAGATTTCCATATTTCCCTATTAGTTATGATGTTTCACATAGAATTTTATTACTATACTATTAACCAGATTAAAGAAGTTCCATTCCATTCCCTGTTTCACATTAAAAAATACATAAATTCATGTATCCATTGAGATAAGATTTTCTTTTTTATACTGTTAGTGTAGTAAATTACATTAATTGCTTTTATAATATTAAAACAATCTCGCATTACTGAAAAATTAAGTTACTACTGGTGAAGTTTCAGAAGAAAATGAAGAAGTCAGACAAAGCCTGTATCATCAGACATAGAAAATACATATATCATCATACACAGAAGGTTGCTAGAAATATGAATGCTCAAGTGCACTGATGAGGACTTGGAAGAAAGTGAGAAACATGCTTTGGCAATTTGAGGGAAATGGATCTTTCAAATATTGGCAGAAAATTTAGCTGAATTATGTTCTACAGTAATATGGAAAGCATAATTTGTAAGCAATGAACTCGGATATTTGGCTGAGGAGGTTTCTAAGTAAAGTGTTGAAGGTATGTCCTGATTTACTCTTACTGCTTACAGTAAAATGTGAGAGGAAAGAGACGGAAGGGAAAACTGCTAAGCCACAAGGAACTTGGTTTAGGAAATTCTCAGTCTATCCAGATTGTAAAAGTTGCTAAAATTAGGAGATTGACTGTTAGGAGTATGTTCTGGAGAGAATTATGAGAGCATACCTGGATTCTGCTAGTGCTGAAGAGATTAGGTATGTGATTCCTGGATCTCCTCAACCATTGCAGCAGTAACCAGGAAAAGAGATGAGGTTATACAGGAAAGATCTGGGGTGCCTTCTCTTATCTAGTGGCATGAATCCCAATGACATACATAATAGAGTCACAAGATTTTTTGGGGAATGTTATACCAGAAGAAATACAGCTTAGTCTAGGAAACGACATGTTTGTGGTACCTTGTTATATATAATAGCCATAGGAAACTAGTACAAATAGATAATGTTTTTAACACTTACTGTGTGTCAACACTCTGCCTATATTGTCTCATTTAACCTAAAAAGCCTATGTAGCAACTATTTATATCTCTACTTTTATAGAGTTTACTGATTTTTGTTTTTTAATAAACGCTTACATGGTAATTACTATTTTCTAATTGCTTTGCAAATGTTAATTTAATCAATATTGTTTTATCTCCATTTTATATTAGAGTTCAGTTACCCTCCCCCTTTATATCAGGAGCCAAGTGGCCACCAGACCCTTTTATTTTTTTAATTTGTTAGTATTTAGGGGGTTTCTGTAATGCATTTGAGGCGAATTTAATTCTGGTGATGTCTCTTGTCACCTAGGTTTGTATACAGAGTTCTTCAGGGATCCCTGTTTCCATCTCCAATTCTGAGAGCTAAGCACTTTGACAGACTAACCGCAGAGGAGAGGACTGAAGCTCTCAAGAAGTGGAGAGGGGCTGGAAAGATGAATCAAGTGACATCAAAGAATGCTAACCAATCAGCTGGCAAATCAGGAAGACGACCCATGCCTGACTCTTCTGCTGTATTTGTGATGAAGTCAGCAACTTCGTGTGCTATTGAGCAAGGAAACTTACCTCTGTGTGAAACTGCTTTAGATCAGGGCTGCTGTGAAACTAAGGCCTTTGAGATGGCTGGACCCTCCAAAGGTTAAGAAAGCCAGATACCCTCCTTGGAATTGCAAGTATTCTTTCAAGGTTGGAAGAGGGATTTTGAAATAGTATCTCTCCAAGCAAGAATTTTCCATAAGGGACAAGGCTTGGAAACCTGACATGATGATAATCATTATTGTATGTTTGTATATGCATTTGTAATAGAGGGCTAGAGTTTGACCTAGACAGAGTTTAAGAATTAAACAGAACCAAATGCTTTTATAAAACTTTTTGGATTTTGTAAAAGCATTTTCATTCTTTTAGAAATTCAAATGCTTTCAAGGGGAGTCATTTGAGATATATTTATTTTACTAGGAGATCTTATATTCTAGGGAAATACTTTAAATGGGCAGGTTCTAGCCAGGCGCAGTGGCTCACGCCTGTAATCCCAGTACTTTGGGAGGCTGAGGCAGGTGGATCACAAGATCAGGAGTTCAAGACCAGCCTTGCCAACTTGGTGAAACCCCATCTCTAGTAAAAATACAAAAATTAGCTGGGCGTGGTGGCGCACACCTGTAATCCCAGCTACTAGGGAGACTGAGGCAGGAGAATTGCTTAAACCAAGACCCAGGAGGCGGAGGTTGCAATGAGCCAAGATCGCGCCACTGCATTCCAGCCTAGGCTACAGAGTAAGACTCCATCTCAAAAAAAAAAAAAAGAAAGAAAGAAAAAGAAAAAAATGGGCAGGCTCCAATCTGAATTTTTTAATTAAGGAAAAAGTAGTTTTTAGATGAATTGGTTAGGACTCAGAGGAAATATGGAAAAAGCATTGTAGATGGTTAATTTACAGGTAAAGTCCCAAGAGCCTTTTAAACAACAAGGTACCTAAAATAAGGTTTACTTGTACTGCTTAAAATACAGTTAGTGACTATTTATAGCTTTTTATTTCCTATGGGAAGATGCTTTTAGTCTTCTGACTGAAGATGTAGGCATACCTCTCTGCTCATTTCAGTGTTTTCCTGAGGTGGAGCCTTCACTGGAAAGGGGAAAGAGGGATTCTAGGGTTTCATCAGGGATCAGGAATGCATTCCTCTCTCAGCTTCCAGTCAGGAGAAGACCTTTTGTGAGATCTGCCTCTGTATAGATGTTGTCAATTAGGAAACTGAAGCCATAGGTCAGGCAGACATCAGGTCTGCCTGTGGCCTATTGGGCAATTTCCAGTGTTCTAAAACTGACAATAGCATAATCAAAGTGATACAATCAATTTCAAAACAATCTTCCGGAGACCTCTTGAAGGTTCATAGTGTTTTACAATACCATGAGACTTTTCAGGTGTTGGAGCCTCTAAAATAAGAGATATAAACTGAAAATAATACAAGTTGTTCTCTGGAAGTTTCTATGAGGTTCTCAGAAAAATTTGGTTTTAAAATACATTTGAGGACAGGAATGTCTACAGCAAGTTTACTGCTATTGCAAATCATGTATGCTGGCTTTTTAGTTATAACAAAGAAACTCTACGAAGTAAGGACAGGTGCTGTTATAAGATCATATATTCCTGTTGAAGTTCTTTTGAAATCCTATCTCTATGTATTGTATTTGAAAGTTGTCAGCCACCAATCATCTAGAATTTCCTTCCTGAGTCTCCGTGCTCATATGCGATGTCTACATCAAGGTCTTCTTAATGACTGTTATTCTCAGGGTTTAGTTTTCTACCTTCTGCCAACTATTCTGGTCTGATATTTTTGTAGCTTTCTATTATTATTGCAAAGTCTTTTACATAAGCTGATTTCTAGAACCTTCAAAATCTACATAGCTAATGGACGTTACTTTCTGCTTTCTTATGACTTTTTTTAAAATAAACTGTTTCATAAATCATGTATACTGAAAAACTGTCATCACTCTTGTAAACATTTGCCGAATCCAACTGTGAATAGTACCAGAACTTAGAAGGAAAGTCACGAACCATGTCTTTTACCAGCATATTGCTTTTGCCTTTTCTTACATGGAAAATCACTGATGTCATATCATTTATTATCCTCATAGCAGCTGCCATTCATTCCCTGAGATTGTCATCTTCTGATAAACAATAATTTAGAGATACATTCAGTTGTAAATAAAAAGGTTAGACTCTGAGGACAAAGAATGAGCTAAAAAACACTAAGAAAAAAATCAATTTTCAGAATGCCAATTATCTGTACATATGAATAGAGGAGAATATTGAGTGTTAATGTTATGGGGTCACAATCTCGTATCCACAATTCCAAAATCTCCAAACCTCTGAAAACTGAAATATTTTTCTTAAATTAGGCATAAATTCAATGTCCTGAACAAATTATAAGGCTATTTATGTACTTTACTTACTGTAATCTTCACATACTTTGCTACAGAAATATTAATATATTTCATTACTGAGTGCTAAACTGTATTCCTTTTTAAAAATTGAAAAATTTTGAATTCTGAAACACATCTGGACCTTAGGCTAAGGAGGTTGGAATCTGTATGAAGCCTTATAAAGGGTGACATTTACAAGTCAATACTCTTTTATATAAAGTTACCCAAGCTGATGTGATCTGGTGGTGTGTATTTCACCAAATTTGGGGGGACCAAGTATTATATCATTGCTCTCAGTAAAGAAAATTGATTAATAGTATATATATTTGGGATATAACCTTATTACAAAAGATTTATAAAATAATTGTGTTGGGTTCCTGAAATTTATCCTAGATGTCAAAGATCTCTGCGCCCTTACCAGGACTAAAGTTCTCACTGAAGACTCAGTGGGCAATTCGAGACTATTAGCAACCTCTAAGTTCAGACCAATCAAGGAGCCATTGGTCCTCTAAAATAAAAGTGCACACACCTGTGAGAGTGAGATATAAGGGAGGCGAATTGTGATTGGCAAACAGGTGCCAGCACGCCATTATAGAGATAGAAACAACTTCCTAGGACTTGTAACCCACATCCATTTAAAAAAAAGTGATTAGACCATTTTATTTGTATTAAGAATTATTTTAAATAAGTATAATATGTATATTTCACTGAATCTAAGTTGAGCAAGGCTAAAAGTTGATACATTAAGAATGTACCTACCACTATAGCAAAACTGACATATGTTCTTGAACTTGCATACAATTGTGACCACAATTCAGTTGCTAGATTTCACGCTCTCCTTAGGTTTATACAAACTGCAAGACAGGAGATGAATAATATGGAAATTATTAAGACAATTTTTTGAATTTCATATATGTTTACACATAGAAAAGTTAAAAAATACATGTATAAAATTGCTGGTAGTATCTATCTGGAATGCTGAGGCAGTCTAGGTTGCTGGTGGAGGTTAGTAGGGAATCCTAGTTGTTTAAAAGGCAAAATGGATGCCTAATTAAATCAGGTATATGTGAAGATTTGTGTTTTAAAGATTTTTAGTGGGAAAAATACTTTTAACCACTAATTGCTTCAGAAATTGATTTGCATAAAGTGTCCTAGTGCTTAAAATCATCTCTATAATTTTCATTACCATTGAGAAGAAACCAGATATTAAACATCTTTTGAGGAAAGTTACCAAATGTTTTACTCCATGCAAAGTTTTACAATGCTTTAAAATATAGTTTTTATGACCTTGTTGGCACACATGAATGCGAGAAAACTGAAAAATATTTAATTGAACGAGAGATGCAATTTAATTTTCTTTTTTAAAAATTGTATCTCTCATCTAAATTCTCCTTTGCAAAGCTTCTATCCAGTTCTTTGCCACATAAGTAAAACAAAGTATTGCCCATAAATATCAACCTAGTTGTTGCAGTCTCAATCAGCCAACTGATATACGCTGAAAAACCCAGCTATGGGAAAAGTTCTATAAAAACTCTTCTATAAAATTATAAGCTTGATATACATCCAGAATGGGGGTTCTATAATGCAAGTGTTAATACTGATCTCTAAAGAATTTTGCATTCAATATGTCTTGCTACCTATATGGATGACATTGGTCTTTTATTGCTGTCTTTTATCAGTTCTCAGAATTACGCAAACGTTAGAAGAGTAATAGTAAATACTTTAAATGTGTAAATTATCTCGGCTTTTAATAAATCAAAAGCAAGTCTCCAATGTTAACAGTGAAATTTACCACTATGCTACTGAGTTGAGAAACAAAAACTGGCAGAGATAATGAATCAGCCTAAATCTCTATATCTTTTTTGTGATCGTATAAAAGAGAACATTCCATAACCTGTTATTGTAGCACCTGCATGATTTTAAATCTCTCCAGAGTTGATAATTTTGTGCTACAGTCATGGTTAGGCCTGGCAAAAGAACAAAGTCTGCTTTGTGTTATTTTTTGTAAAGCCTTTCATTGAACTTGAAATAAGAGAAAAATGAAGGTAAAAAATAAGTTGAGGAAAATTAGTCCAAAACAAACATGCAGATTTGCAGTACATGGTTGAGCAATTCTATCCATGAAAAGTGCTTCCGTACAGCTCTCTGCAGAAAGCTCTTCACGGTCAAGAAGACCATTTTCTGTTCGTGTAGCTGGCAAAAGTCTCTGATGATCCTTATAATTACTTTAGGAGAAAGGTCTGGATGTATATCTGTCTTTTGATCCATTCGATGAAATATGATACATTACTATAAACGCCAGGCCCGAGGACTTTGGAAAAGCAGACAGAGCCCCATGAAGTTAATCCAAATAATGTCCACTGTCCTCCAGGGTGCTCACAAACAAGAGGCCCACCACTGTCGCCCTGCAATGAGTAGTGGCAGGAGTTAGTAACTGGTATTTCAGAGCCTTAATGTGTGTCCATTAACCAACTTGGAAAATTTCAACAAAGCTTTCCTTGTCTGCCTGTGGAGGAATTGTGCTTTCCACTGTAAAAATGGAAGTTTCAAATAAACATCTTAAACTCTGATCATTAAAAGGGTGGAGTGGCTTGGGAATAAATTATATTTTTTCCCACCAGGAAATTAAAAGACTTTTTCCGGCATTTTCTGCACTTACAAAAATATGTCAAAGTTTTTAAAAAGTACCAGAATTAATTATCTCAAAATTGACCTCATTCTTTAAGCTTGATTTATCTTATAACTGTGAAAAGTACCCAAAATGGAATAAAGATCCCCCCACACACACAGTTCTACAAACATATTCTAAAATACCTATTTTTTAAATTCTTGTTTTGTGTGAATGAATGCATTAAGTAACACAATTTGGGGTTCCTCATCTCACTTCTTAATAGTTCTTAGGACTTTTTGATTTGGCATAGTTGAATAAAAAATGAGACCACTTAAAATTATTTATAATGAATATTTTCATTAATAGGCTATATTTTATTTCATATATATAGGGATTTTCATTCTTGATATTTAAGGATTCCAGTTAATTTTATCATTAACTATATTCCCCCAGCATTTTATCATTAACTTTATCCCCCAAATATAGTTAATGATAAAATGTTATGGGATTAGATATAGTAAGGTTTGCTACATCTGAAAAGAAAGGTGTATTCTGCACTGCCTGAAAAGAGAGGAGTTGATACCATGGAAAATAAAAAAGTAAATATGTGAATTTATTGTGGAAGATTACAAGTATTCTTTAATCTACAAGACTTTCAAACCTAGAAGCATATCTATGGTTTCCTACTTGGTATTGTTGAAGAAAATAGGAATAATATTTCTTGATGCTCTTCTAAACATTTTCCATGTATTAGCTCATTTAATATTTACAAAATACCTCACAGTTTATATTATTTATTGTAATAATATCTGTTTTGGAGATGATGAAACTGAAGCACAGGTTAAATAACTTGTTCATTGGCAGAGGCTGGATTTTAATCCAGGCAGTCTGGTAACAGGACTCAAACTCACAGTAACTACTAGGCTACCCTGCTTCTTAGGAATGTTAATTAATATTATTGCTATGAAAGGGAAATTGGGCCCGACACGGTGGCTCATGCCTGTAATCCCAGCACTTTGGGAGGCTGCAGCGGGCAGATCGCTTGAGGTCAGGAGTTCCAGACCAACCTGGTCAACATGCTGAAGCCCCGTCTCTACTTAAAATACAAAAATCAGCCAGGTGTGGTGGTGGAAACCTGTAATCCCAGCTACTCTGAAGGCTGAGGCAGGAGAATCACTTGAACTTGGGAGGCGGAGGTTGTAGTGAGCTGAGATCGTGCCACTGCACTCCAGCCTAGGAGACAGAGTGAAATTCTGTCTCAAAACAAAAAAGAAAGAGAAATTAAAATTTCGATTGTGCTGTATGCTTTTGTGTAAGTGGTGATCTTTAAATTCGTAACTTTCAAACGCCCTAAGCCAAAATCATAAGCACAGAACTTGCAAGAACGTGAATAAATTTTTCTGCCGAGACCCTAATTGAATTTTTTTTTTTAAAAGCAAAATTTCCTTGTTACATGTATGTAATGCATATACAAAAATGAAAAATTTCCTGGAAACATTTTACAAATTGTTTTCACAAATTTCATATTCCTAGGGATATTTCACTCTTGATCTCTTCTTACATAAAATAAATAAGACACTTGGTTACTGAAGTGGAACTATCATGTCAGAGGGTGATTAAAATGGAACGTGTTTAGAATGTCAGCACATTTTCACTTCCAGATCAGACATTTAATAAAATAATTATTTAGCATCTACTCTTTGCAAAGTTCTGTGCTGGGTATAAACAAACGAATAAGGCACTGTTTTTGTCCCAGAGCAGCCAAAAGTTGACTTGGGTAACAAGGGTCACATGAAAGCCAAATCTAATGGCTAGAAAGGGGTTCAAAGGAATGAGTGATGACTTCCAGGTGGGAGAGGATAAAAATTGTCTTCCTGAGATGGAGGTTTTGAGTTAGGCTCAGTGAGTCAGGTAGGCGTTCCATTAGGTGCAAAACAAAAGTGAAAAGCAATTCAAAATGAAAGGGAGACTGCAGCTGAAGCCACAATTGATCTAGTCTGTTATTTTGGTCCTCTTTGTCATATTGGGCTTCAAGCCAACATTTACATTTGGCTTCAATATTGATTTCTAGATTGTCAAGAGGAACCCACGCTTCATTATGTCCTGTTCATACAATTAAGGAAAGTAATATTTGTCATTCAACAGAGGTTTAAGTAGAAAAATTTGCTTCTGATCCAGTAAAGAGTAGGTTTCGTTTGTTTTGTTTTCTGCCTGAAGTTGTGTTAGAGAATATCTGGTATGCATTTAATATCCCCACACCATTGAACTCTCACTACCGAAGAAGTTGGCAAGACCTGGTTCCTATTAGGCATCATTTTAAGAACATGCCCGTGCCTGTGTCTGTGGGCCTTCAGGTCTCTGTCAAGGAATCTCCTCCCTTCCCCTCCATTAGCAATTGCCAAGAGATGATCGTGAATATGTGGAAGAGGTGCTAGTTTTTGGTAAACCTACAAATGCCACTGAGAAAGGGAGAAATGTATTTATATTAATCATTGCTGCCAGACTGCCTGGTTTCATATCCTCCCTCCACCACCTTCATGCTGGCTGATCTGGGGCAAATTACTTAACCTCTTGTATTCTTGATCTGTTTAGGGAAAATAAAGATACCGCCATATGGGTTGATTGTGATAATTAAATGAGTTAGCAGAAAGCATTTTGCAGAGAGCCTGAAACATAATAAGCACTAAACTGATAGAAACTGATAGGTGTGAATATTGGTGTAATTATTATTCATTGGATGGCTAAGTTATGTGCCAGATATCATACACAGATATATGAAAGATATGGGTTTTCAAAGAAAGATACATTAATTCAGTTAATCCTCAAAACACCCTGGAAAATGGACAGAATTAGCCCCATTTTATTCATGAGAAAGCTATCTAGAGAGGTTAGATAACTTCCCCGGGTTATACTGGTCTTACTGACAGAGATGAGCTCCAACCCAGGTCTTTCAGGTTTCCAATCCTGTGCCCCATGCCCACATCATGCTGCCTCCTACAACACCTTATTCTGGGCCTGAAAAATCAAACCTGGTCCTCCTGTACAGAAGCGAGGGGTTCCTTTACCACCATGCACCTCATCAGGATGACTTGAGACCATGAGGCAGAAAGGAAAACGTCTCTCAGCAAAACACCAAGAGAGCTGTCTGCCTCCTTCTTTCCCATGACAACTGTCTAAGGAATCACCACAGGGCCATTTTCAATACTCTGATTTTTCCATTCTAAAATGGATCCTCAAAAATATAATTTATTTACGTTGAGTTAGTGTTTAAGAGCATTATTGTATCTTTTCTTCATTACTAAACTGTAGGGGGCAATTTACTCCAAAGTAGTAAAATAACAAAGGTGCTTCACAGCAGCATAGTATCATAACTGCTGTCCCCAGTTTTTGTTATAAGCTTATTTGAGCCCTTGTACTTTTCCATCCTTTCCTGGGAGCCAGTCCAGTATAATGTTCAATGAGTGTCTATTAAGTTTAAATAAAAACACATCTCTACACTATTATGTTAATATGTTCTACAAACTCTCAAAGCCATGAATCCTGAGTATCTAAAGGTTGAGTTCAGTGATATTTGATGGCATACTGGTGATCAAGAGCACATATCATCCAAGTGGCGACAACACCAGTGTGATGACCCCTGAGACAAAGGCAGTCCTGTCTCACACCCTGGACGTTGAGTGTTGATGTACGCCTTAATGCCATCACCCTGATGGCTGACAGTGTCGTCTGGTGCATGCCCTGCTTCCTGGGGCAGCCAGGTGGAAGCCATGGTCACTACTAGCTCCTCTTAGAACCTCATTTAACCTACCCACTAAAGTGGTTGAATGAGATGAACAGGAACAATTATTTTTCTCCTGTTGCTGACCAAGGATGATGTGCCACATAAAGTAGACGAGGCAGTAGAAGGTACCCTGAATGAAGAGGATGAATGTAATTAGGTGGATTGCTTGTGTGCCCGCTGCAGGAAAATGTGCTGTTAATAATTAAACATTTGGCAACAAACGATTTTCAAAACATGTTTCCAAAGGGCCATATTTGAGTGATAATGAGTTTATAGGAATCCACTGAAGTTATTGCTGAACTGAATCTCCTTGGTAACCAGAAAGTAACTTACCATGCATGAATCAACTGTGCCAGACTCATAGCCAGCACATATCATCCGAGTGGTGATCGCCTTCATGTCAAAGTAGGACTGACACTGTTCCAGAGAAATAATGCGGACCTCTCCCTCTTGCAGCTTAAAAGGCACTGAATTAAAAAAAAAGAAAGAAGAATACATATATGATGGTAAATGGCTCAAAAGTGAGGCTAACCATATGAAATGCAAACATCATATAAATATTTTTATACCAAGAGAATCATATTCTTTATCTGAAATGTCATTTTATAAAGACACAGCTGATTTGGAATCAGAATTTTCCAGTTAGCAGTATTCATAGCAATTATCCAGTGAAACTTCTTTATTTTATTAATGGGAAAACCGAGGCCCAGACTGGTTAAGTAAGTTGGTTCATGCTTGTCATATGCTACAACAAAAACAATAGCTACTACAAAGAAAAAAAAATCAACCCAGAGCTCTGCTGGCTGCCAGGTAGGAGGCTGCCAGCTCAGCATCAGCTCAGCATGATGGTCCTGCTCTGCTAAAGTAGAGAAAACTTGTTCAATCTAATAGGGAAGGGTTGTTCTATTCTTGATGAAAATAGTATGTCTCAGCATGTGCCCCAGCAGCCATTACTTGATGTAAGAACCTCTAATCTTAGAGGATATGACAGAGAGATGTTGAAAAGCACAAAGCCATCCCTTGGTATTGACAGAGAGAATATGTGAATTCCATCTTGCTTGAAAGTTCTTGAAGAATGACAATGGATTTCTTGAAGGAAGACAGTGTGAATCTTTTGCTGTTTAGCCATTCTGCAAAATTATACGCACTGTTCTTCTTTTAAACAGTGATGATGAAACATCACTGGGTACCTTATTGGAAGAGTCATTTTTAGAAAAATCAATGGATGCAGACAGTAGAAGTTTAATAGGTTGTCAAAAGAATAAGAACAATAGCTAACATTTATTGAGCTCTAGTGGGTCTCATTGCCTTTAATCTTTACAAAAATCCTGTAAGGCAGTTGCTATTTTTGTTCCATTTTATAGTAAGTTTGAAAGTGGTATAGTCAGATCAATCAGATCTTTCTGACTTAATTCAGCAGAACTTTGCTCTTTTTTTTTTTTTTTTTTTTTTAGACAGGGTCTCATTCTGTCACCCAGGCGGTGGTGCAATCTTGATTCACTGCAGCTTAGACTTCCAGGTGCAAGAACTCATCCTGCTTCAGCCTCCCAAGTAGCTGGGACTACAGGCACACACCACCACTCCAAGCTAATTTTTTTTTTTTTTTGGTAGAGACAGAATTCCACCATGTTGCCCAGGCTGGTCTCAAACTCCTGGGCTCAATTCATGCTATGCTACATGTGTGGGGTGTGCATTATGTTGCACTATTTCTCTGAGTTTAATATGAATATTGTAGGAGGAATATAAGCAGAAACAATATAAAGCATATTCTTCCTTAAATTACAGTATTAATTAATCATAGTTTTGGAAAAAAAAACATGCATAAGGATGGTGACAGCATGTCTAACATTGCCTTCAAAATTGTTACAGGTGAGTTTTTTTTTTTGAAAAAGTCATTGACTTCTGCCTGCTGACTTTTCCTTTCCATTCTTTAATTGATGAAATAGACAAGATGCTCAACTCAGTTCAAAACTTATCTGACTAAATTTTAAGGAAAAAAATCCTTCAAATATACAATTTCCAAGGCCAGTAACAGAATGCCAATATACATTATCATTCTTGAAAGTCATGGCATTATGCTGGATATGGTCAGAGTAGGCAGCACTTACAGTTTTTTTAATAAAGTCTCATTGATTCAATTCTTATTCTAAGTTTTAAATAGGTCATACTGAATGAAGGAGTCCACTGTAGGGGTTGAGAGTAAGTACATAGTACAGATTTTTAAATTTCTATGTGCTTTATATGTTTAAGTCACCTACAGAGCTAAACAATTTAAATCAATTTAAATAGGCAAATAGCAAATCAATATGCTTTCTTGAAGGGCTTATAGGTTGTGCTTATAGATGTTGATAAGACCAAATCATAACACAGAATTGGAAATATAACCATGCAGCTTGACTGCAGAGATTCCCAGTGACTGTCTCTATCAATGATTTGGGCTATCTGCAGGCAGACAGAGACAGTCCAAAGCACAGTTCACTGACAGGTCTCCTCCTGCAGCAAGGAAGCTCCCAAAACATTGACAGTAGCTCCCTGGAGAGAGATTCTGAAGTGTGGAGAGGGATTTTTGAGGTTGCATCTGAGCTTGGCAGTTTTAAATGCCATGGTTCATTATTAATGTCTATGATTTGCACAGCAGAGGAAGTATGACACATCGCCAAGTATTCACCATTTGTGGCTATCTTTTTGTAAGAGAAAATGGGAAATTATGGCCAAATAAACACAGTGTTTCTCAGGCTCCTGAAGATCCTGGCTGATATAGTTTTGCTGTGTTCCCACCCAAATCTCATCTTGAATCGTATTTCCCATAATCCCCACATGTCATGGGAGCGATCCAGTGGGAGGTAATTAAAACACAGGGGTGGTTACCCTCATGCTGTTCTCATAATAGTGAGTTCTCATGAGATCTGATGGTTTTATAAGGGGTTTTCCCCCCTTTTGCTTGGTTCTTCTTGCTGCTGCCATGTGAAAAAGGACGTGTTTGCATCCCCTTCTGCCATGATTGTAAGTTTCCTGAGGCCTCCCAGCCCTGCAGAACTGTGAGTCAATTAAACCCCTTTCCTCTATAAATTACCCAGTCTCAGGTATGTGCTTATAGCAGCATGAGTATGAACTAATACAATGGCTTACTTTTATTGCCCATGTGGCCCCAGCCTGTGATATAGCAATACGTGTCAGGCTCTAGCCACTGCTCTGGGCTGGGCAAGCAGACAGGCCGAACATAGCCAGTCTCATTGATGTCTTCACTTAGCTCAACGATGCTGATGTCATAGTCCACCACTGCTCGACTGTAGCGAGGATGCAGGATGATGGTCTTCACAAAGCGTGTCTGCATGAACACTGATGGATGGTCCAAATTGTTGATGCCAAGCACCACTTTCCAAACTGCAGCATTCTCTCTCCTAAAATAATAATGCAAGAGCTACTGGCATCTTAAACTCTAGTTTATCTTGTAAAATTCACGTGTAATTTTTAAACATTTTATTTATGTAAATAATGGCTACTTTCATGCCCACCTCTCAGTGTATTCATATAAAAGGCATTTATATAATAGCCTGAGTGATTAGCATAGCTCATGATTTCTGAATGGGGCTAGTCTTTTTTTTTTTTTTTTTTTGAAACAGAGTCTTGCTCTGTCATTCTGGCTGAA